CTCTGCATTATACACACACACATTCATACAAACACACACACACACTGCATTATATACACACACACTCATACAAACACACACTCTACATTATATACACACACATTCATACAAACACACACTCTGAATTATATATACACACACACACTCTGCATTATATGCACACACTGCATTCATACAAACACACACTGCATTATATACACACACTGCATTCATACAAACACACACTGCATTATATACACACACACAAATTCTGCATTCATTATATACACACACTACACACATACACACACTGCATTCATTATATACACACACTACACACAAACACACACACACACTCTGCATTCATTATGTACACACACTACACAAACACACACACTGCATTCATTATATACACACACTGTAAATAAATATTCAATTAATGTAATTTTATTGGGATCTAATTTTATTTAGAAATTTACCAGTAGCTGCTGCATTTCCCACCCTAGGCTTATACTCGAGTCAATAAGTTTTCCCAGTTTTTTGTGGTAAAATTAGGGATTATTCTAGTTTACAGTGAACGAATAATCTAAATTTTATTAAAGACAGGAGGCGAATATTTGCTTATCTTTCTTTACTGTAACTCCCAGCAGCAAAGAAACAGTTAACAATATTGTAAGAAAAATTCAACCAATCATAACACATCACAGAAACAATATAGTGCCACCAGACTCCCCCCACTTCCTCTTTCTTGGTGATGCCGGTCAGTAGTAGAATCAACCCTGTAAACTGGAAACATTCCGAGGCTTTAACTCGAAGTGAAGTCAACCATGTAAACGTGTAGTCGAGCAGAATAAACTGAAATCTTCACACTAGAAGAGAAGAAGAGAGACTTCGTGAAAGTATGGTCTCTTGGACAAGAGAAAATATATAAGTACGCCTTCTATTTTTAATGATAGCTCATTTATCTGGTAGAGTTTAAAAAGGACATATCGGTACAATGTGATGTAGGGTTATATCTACTAGTTTAACAAATAGTATACCTGCAAATCAAAGTGCAAGAGAGTGTACAATACAATAAACATGGACCAGGAGACTTACCCTGAGGGTGGGTTCCAGAGTGAACGAAGGGAGGGAAAATATTCGCCTCCTGTCTTTAATAAAATTTAGATTATTCATTCACTGTAAGTTAGAATAATCCCTAATTTTATGGCAAGACAGGAGGCTTCATATTTGCTGTTTTAACACTCTTGAATAAAGGAACAAGCCGCATGTGGTGTTGGTTTAAAATAAAAGGTGCGAAAGGTAGATTCCCTTGACCAATCTGCGCAGGATAAAATATCCGCCAGTGAGCTGCCCGCGCGAAAGGCAGAGGATGCGGCCGCTCCCCTAACGGAGTGAGCTCTGAAAGATCTATCAATTCCTACTTGGGAAAGCAACCATCTTATCCAGCGTGCGATAGTGGGGGAAGAGACCGGTTTGTGAGGTCTAATGTAAGAGACAAAAAGAGGACCGGTAGGGGAACGTGGAGCGGCAGTGTTCTCAGTGTAACTACGGGTACACAGGGCCACACAGAGAGACGGTCTGTCGGGAAAATACGGATAGAAAATTGACGAGGAATTTGTCTTAGTGCATCTAGTAATGGTAAATCTGACACCGTCTGGCGCGAAGGTGACAGCATGTGAGTCAAAGGCTTGAACGTCAGAAACTCTGCGGAAGGACACCAGACACAGTAGCAGGGCCAGTTTCGCAGAGAGTTGGCCGAGGGATAAGGCCTCGTTAGGTGGCCAGGACTCCAACAGTGCGAAAACCTGAGAAATATCCCAGAACTTAGAGTATTTGGCAGAGGATGGCCTCGTCAAACGAATGCCCCGTAAAAGTCTGCACACGGAAGGGTGTTTCCTAACCAAGGAGTTGTCAATAGTGTCATGGGCTGCCGAAATGGCGGAACGAAAAATATTAATTGATCGGTATGATTTACCCTGATTGAAAAGAGATGATAGGAAATTTAGAATGGATGAAAGAGATGCTGAAACGGGATCGAGATCCCTCTCCAGACACCAGCCGACCCAAATTCGCCATGCGGAGAGATAGGTTCGTCTGGTCCCTGGGGCCCATGAATCCCACAGGAGTGTTTGAGCAGTGCATGAAAGTCCTGCGACATGCCAAGCTCCCCTGAAACTGTCCAGGCTACCAGTTGAAGATGGCCTCCTAGGGTGAGCAGGTGGTAATCGCCCGTTGGGTTCCTGAGGACCTGAAAGGAGCGAGGTAGGAGGATGGGATAGTTTGTTGATAGTTCCAGGAGGGTGGGGAACCACGTCCGGGCCCTCCATAGAGGAGTAATTATCACAATCTTGACCCTTTGCGCCTTGACCCGGTGGAGGGTCCGTTGAATCATCGAGAAAGGAGGGAAGGCATAGGCTCCACTCCGTGGACAAGGTTGGAGAAAGGCGTGGACTGCCAGAGACAGAGGGTCTGGTAGCCAGCTGAAGAAGTCGCCCGTCTGACGATTCAGCCGAGACGCGAAGAGGTCGAGTGTGAGGGGCCCCCGTAATAGATGAATGTGGTGGAATAGGAAAGGATCTAATTGCCAATCGCTGGCATCTCTCCAGTGACGTGAAAACCAGTCCGCGACTAAGTTGTCAGGTCCTGGGAGATATTCTGCCAGAATTGACAGATTCCTGTCGAGGCAGAACTGGTACAGGTCCTTGGTGAGATCTGACAGAAGTTTGGATTTGGAACCTCCGAGTCGGTTTACATACCATACCACGGAGATGTTGTCCATCCGTAGTACCAGAGAACAGTTGGAGGCGTCCTTGGCAAAGCTGCGGATCGCGAAGGATCCGGCAATGAGCTTGAGACAATTTATGTGGAGCGCCTATTCTGATGGGGACCAGAGACCCCCTGTGAATGTTTGGGCGCAAGTAGCACCCCAGCCCAAGAGGCTGGCATCGGATTCCAGAATAAAATCCGGTTGAGATCCGAAGATCGCTTTCCCATTCCAGGCTTCCATATTGCGAAGACACCAGTGGAGTTCGATGCGAACTTCGTCCGTCAGGGAAATGAATTGATCGTAAGAGGTTGAGCGATGCAAGTAGGAAGCTTTCAACCGTTGCATTGCTCTGTAATGTAAGGACCCGGGAAAAATAGCTTGAATTGATGCAGATAGGAGACCCAGAATGTGTGCTAGGTCGCGGAGCCGAGGTCATTGTGAAGTGAGTAATTTTTTAATGTCTTTCTTTATGTTTTTGATTTTGGAATAGGGCAGTTGTAGGGTTGCCTGAACCGAATCTATTTGGAAACCCAGAAACTGGACTATCTGAGAGGGTTCCAGATCTGATTTCTGGAAATTTATAACAAAACCCAGGTTTTGAAGGAGGGCAGAGGTCATGTGCGTGTGTTTGCGAAGTAGTTATTGGTCTTGGGCCATAATCAGGATATCGTCTAGATATATGATGGAACGTATTCCCTGAGAACGGAGTAGCGCCATGACCGGTTTCATTAACTTGGTGAAACACCAAGGGGCGGAGCAAAGTCCGAAAGGGAGGCAGGTGAACTGCCAAATTTCGCCTTCCCACAGGAATTGGAGGAAGGCACGATGACTTGGTGCGATTGGGACCGTCAGATAAGCATCCTTGAGGTCGAATCTGGAGAACCAGTCTCCCACGCAGAGCAGGTCCCTGAGAAGATGGATACCTTCCATCTTGAAATGACGGTATGTAATAAAATGGTTCAATGCTTTGAGATTGATAATAGGACGGTGGTCTTCCGTCTTTTTCCGAACAAGAAATATGTTGCTGAGGAAGGTGTAAGGGAAAGGCGAAGGTTCGATCGCCCGTTTGTCTAATAGTTTGTGTAATTCTGTATTTAAGGTTAGAGTGTCTGCTCTTGAAATCTCTAAAGGTGTCGGAGGAGAGTGTTGCACAGGATGTGTGAAAAAATCTATTTTGAAACCTCTGACTGTATGAAGAATCCAGAGATCCTGGGAAAGTAGTTTCCACTGTTGGAAAAAGAACGTTAATCAACCTGCGATTGGTACATGTTTCAAATAAGCAAGGTCCATTACCTGAAGCAGTGCTTCCACGCAGGGATGCAGAGCCACGTCCTCGGATCGAGCCTCTGGTGCTGAATAGTTGTCTGTGGTAGGGTCGTGTATATCCTGTGGACCAATAGTCTGTGGGTCGGGGCCTGTGGCCTGCAAAGGCTGCTCTACTGGTAGCTCGGCCCCTAGAGCGACCAGCTCTCCCAGAAAAACGTTGTGTTTGGGAGCGGAAAACCCTACGTAAAGAGGACTGGGCTTTATTGAGTGTGGTAAAGACTGAGACATGCTTGGAGAGGTCTCGCATGAAACTGTCACCGAATAGCAGACCATCGGACTCTGGGCCCAGTTCCTTAGAACTCAAGTCTACCAATTTGGCATCAATTTTATAAAGTGCCGCTTTGCGTCTCTCTATCGAAATAGCCACATTGGCGTTGCCCAATAAGCATAGAGCTCTCTGAGCCCATTCTCTGATAATGTGCGGGTCAAGTTCACCGCTAGTGAGTGCCTCATCTGTTAATATAAATACTTGAATTATAGGACCTGAAATGTCCAAAGGTTTGTCTTGGGCCGCTTTCAACCCCTGTTCAATACCCTAACGAGGGTCTTTGCCAGATTTCGTTAAGTAGGTGACAAGCATGGGGTCGAACTCAGGGGTAGAGGCAACTTTGCCCGGAATAGTTGGTCTCAGGCATTCAGCCCTTAGTTTATTTCTTATTTCTTTTTCGAGGGGCTTGCGAAGCCACATTTTGCAGAAATTGGCAATATGGTCTGGGGGGGCCCATTCTGCAGAGCGCGGGTGACGAATCACCCTTGGGTCAAAAAAGGGGAGGCCCGAGGCATCCAGGAGGGTGTCTGAGTCAGACACTTTAGAGGGAAGGGTACCCTTGGAATCCTGACCCGGGAAGGTTTCCTTTACGAACTCTGACGTTGAGGAATCCTGGGGCGCATTCAACATGGGATCCTCATCAGTGTAGTTGGGGTCTTAATCACTTAAAATATGGCCAGTCAAACGAGAAGTAGAACCCTCTAGCGGGTCTGTTGGATCCTGCATAATGTATGGTTGGGAATGTTTATAGACCTTTGCAGGAGCTTTGCCTTTGCCCGCAGTAGCACTATTCCCTTTCCAGGGTCTCTTGCGCGAGGCGCTGTCTTGGTCAGAGAGATGGGAGTCCTCAGAATCAGATGGTTGGTGTGTAGAGGGATGAACCTCTGTAGTAGTTTGTTCATGATAGGCTGCCAAAGCCTTAGGAATGGACTCCGCGATAGTGGAGAAAAGCCATTCCTTAAGTTCAGCAGAAATTGCAGGGTCTTGGCGGTCCGACATAATGTCTTTCTCAATTTATATGCAAATTATATATACAAATTATAAGTGAGGGTTGTCAATTAAAGATGAGGCAACTCAATTAGAATATGTGAGAAGTGGGGGTCACCCACGAGACGTTAAAACAGTGGGGGTCACCCACAAATGCTTGGCACAATAAATAGTAAAGGGCAATTAATGGAGGGTCATCCAATAATTACAGGTGGTGGTCAACCACTGAGTAGTTCAGAGTAAACAATATAGATATACTATAGTCAATGAGGTGGGGGTCACCCACTAGAGAGTAAAAGAAGGGGTGAAAATCACCAGTATAATATATATAATATGTACAGTGAGAAGATGGGGATCACCCACAAAATAAAACCAGGTGGTGTCAGCCACACAAATATTGTACACAGTAGTGTTTTCAGTATGTAAGGGGGGGTCACCCACAACAGGGAAAAAAGGTCAGCCACACAAAGTTAATGAATGGCAATGTATGTTAAAGGGCCACTCTAGGCACCCAGACCACTTCAGCTTAATGAAGTGGTCTGGGTGCCAGGTCCAGCTAGGGTTAACCCATTTTTTAATAAACTTAGCAGTTTCAGAGAAACTGCTATGTTTATTAATGGGTTAAGCCTTCCCCCTAATCCTCTAGTGGCTGTCTCATTGACAGCCACTAGAGGCGCTTGCGTGCTTCTCACTGTGATTTTCACAGTGAGAGCACGCTAGCGTCCATAGGAAAGCATTGTAAATGCTTTCCTATGCGACCGGCTGAATGCGCGCGCAGCTCTTGCCGCGCGTGCGCATTCAGCCCAGGAGGAGGAACGGAGGAGGAGAGAAAGAGGAGAGCTCCCCGCCCAGTGCTGGAAAAAAGGTAAAAACTGCGTCACAAAAGGAGACGCGAGCAGGCGGGAGGAGGGTAAAGGCAGGAAACGGCAGCCGCAGGCTCATGGGAAATAGAGTCCGCGGCTGATGATAGAACGAGAATGGGCAGCGTCTCTTAAACCATTAAGGCAATGTAATTGGAGTAGACTCACCTGGGAGGCAATCAGCAAAGAAAGAGGAAGTGGGAGGAGTATGGTGGCTCTATATTGTTTCTGTGATGTGTTATGATTGGTTGAATTTTTCTTACAACATTGTTAACTATTTCTTTGCTGCTGGGAGTTACAGTAAAGAAAGATAAGCAAATATGAAGCCTCCTGTTTTGCCATAAAATTAGGGGCCTCGGCTTATATTCGGGTCGACTTATACTTGAATATATACGGTATATATATATATCTATATATATATATATATATATAAAAGATGCCAAAATACCAGCGTATTGCAATATGCAATGATACCTTTTTTTATTGTTTGAAATAATGCTTTATTGGTACAGCATGGAAACCTATAACTTGCTCCTGCACAGAAGAGTAAACATTAGTATTGCGTTACTGTGAATAACGTTACTCGTTGTTGGGTTCTTTAGTTTTCGGGTACATGCAAAATTGTTACCACCTTTATTCGCTGGCTTTCAACTGTTAACTGAACGTCTGTTGTTGTGGTTTCCCAAGGTCAGGTGAGATGGTGTGATTGTGGTCATTGGGGCCTAACCGTGCTGCTTATCCTCCTATTAATGATGGCATTATCTGTTGTGGTGTGTACGGTTAGTTGCTAGTGCTATATGGCGCGATGGGCTGCTTTTGGGTGTCGCGTAGGTGCCCTAGTTCGTTGGTCGGTCTCCTATGAGCGGGGCAGTCTGGTGAGGTTGTGTGTGTATTCTGCTGCTATGCGGCTCCTGCCTTCTCCCTCCGCTGTTATCGTTACCTTGAAGGTGCCACCGGGCTCGGCCGGGCGGCTCCCGGCCTCGAGCTTTGATACTGTACCTTTTTTATTGGAATCAGGGCTGGTGCAAGGATTTTTAGATACACAGGTGAAGATGATTTTGGAGCCCCCCCACCCCCAAAAGCATCTTCACCTGAGTGCCTCTTAACCCACCTTTTGTTTCTTATACCCTTTTTAAAATATCTTACCCCCTTTAGTGTCTTATCCCCTATTATTTCCACATTGTGTGTATTACACCTCCCTTTGGTATCTCTTACTACCCCCCTTTGTGTTTCTTACTCCCCCCAGCCTCTGTGTCTCCTTCTCTCTCAGACCCTTTGTGTCTTTTACTCTTACCATCTCCTATGTGTGTTTCTCTTTCATCACCAGTCCGTCTATCTCCCCCAGCCCCTCTTTGTCTGTTTTTTCCTTCTCCAGCCCCTCTGTGTCTCTTTCACCCCCAACCACTTTGTATATCCACTCACAGGCTCTTCTGTGTGGTGCTTTCATCCCCAGCCACTCTGTGGACTTTCTCACCCCCAGGCCCATCTGTGTGTCTTTCTCCCCCCTCATGTCTCTCTGTGTGTCTTTCTCCTCCCCTCCATATCAATTAGTGGTCCTCTCCCTTCCCTGTCCCTTAATGGTCCTCTCCCCTACATGTCCCTTAGTGTTCCTCCCCCCTCCCTACCCTGTCCCTTTTTGTTCTCCTCCCTCCCTCCCCTGTCCCTTAGTGTTCATCTTCCCTCCCTCTTACCTGTCTCTTGCCCCATTCCCCTTAATGTCCCTTCCACCCTCCATATTAGTGTTCCTCTCCCTTCTTTTTTAGTGGTCCCCCCACTACCCCAGTGTTCATTATCCTTCCCTCCCTGTGCTTTGAGTGTCCCCAGTGGCAACTCCTGGTGTTTATTTCCTCCCCTCCTGGCCCATTTGGAGTTCTTTTCCCTTCCTGACCATAGCATTCTTTCCCCTCCTGCCCCATAGCATTCTTTTCCCCCTCCCTGTCCCATAGCGGTATTTTCACCCCTCCCTTGTCCCATAGCATTCTTTCCCCTCCCCTGCCCCATAACATTCTTTTCCCCCCTCCCCTGTCCCATAGCATTCTTTCACCCCTCACCTGTCCCATAGCATTCTTTTCACCCTCCCCTGTCTCATAGCATTCTATTCCCCCTCCACAGTCCCATAGCATTATTTTCCTCCCCTCCCCTGCCTTATAGCATTCTTTTCTCCCTCCCCTGTCCCATAGCATTCTTTTTCCCCTCCTGTCCCATAGCATTCTTTTCCCCCTCCTGTCCCATGGCATTCGCGCTTTACCTCCTGCCCCATAGCATTCTTCCCCGTCCCATAGCATTCTTTTCCCCCCTCCCTGTCCCATGGCATTCTTTGCTCCCTTCCCTGTCCCATGGCATTCTTTCCCTCCCCTGTCCCATAATGTTCTTTCCCCCCTCCCATAGTTATAAATATATATATATTTACACACATAACATTAAGTGTTAGCTCTGATTTATCCATGACATATCCATGTCTTTCATCAAATTCCGATTCTTAATTTAATGTAAATGCTATAAAATGGTATTGTACTTAATCTAACAGCTCCATCTAGTGCTCTGTTGAAAGTTTGCATGTAGGGCAGGTTATAAAGGAACACTAAAGGGATAGAAACACAAACAAATTTTTAACCTTACAGTGTTTTAATCCAGATTCAGGACCCCCTCTATTGACCGTAAAAAAAAAAATAATTTCAATTTTTTCAATGTTGAGATTGATTTTGTCATCCTGAAGTCGGACTCGTTGCTATCACGATAATCATCCAATCCAAAGCTCCTCATAGAAGGACATTGGGGAAAAAGATGACCTTACACGGTGCAAGCCCAGTCAAATTCTTCTATACAGGAAGCCTTGAATTCAATGCTTTCTTATCAGCTGTATTTGATGATGTTCGACATCCATGACCAAGTTAAACTCAGTCTTTGCAGCACATTTGCCTCTATTGGCTGTCAGGAAGACATGTTTATCTCTTGAATCAAGGCATTTCTGTGTGTCTACTAAACAGCAATATTTAAGATTGAGAGCCTAAAGATAAAGGGCCACTGCAGATGAAGTGGTCTGGGTGCCTTTAGTTGTCCTTTAACCACTTAAGGACAATTGACATGTGTGACATGTCATGATTCCCTTTTATTCCAGAAGTTTGGTCCTTAAGGGGCTAAAGGCGAACTGTCACTTCCTAGGTTGTTTATATTTACCAGATGTGTATTTGTGAAGTGTGAACAATAAAAATAAATGTAGAAATCCACACCTCTTCACCCTGTAACTGGGTCCTCTGTCTTAGCTCCCTGTCAAACAATATTACAAGCTCTGACCTTTGCACCTGGCAGTTTAGTAGATCACTGCCTAATTTGGTGTAAAGTTGTCATATTTAAGGATACCAAATTAGAGAAATGAATTAGGGAGCTACTTACTAGACCTTCTCTTAATTTTGACTTTTCCTCAGTTTAGTAGAAAACTTCATAATTTGGTATTGCCATGTACTATTTTTTCCACTAGACAAAGTTTGATTAATTTAATTGCATCTGTTTTGTTTTTTTCTTTTCAGAGTTTTTTAGTTTTTTGCAATCTGGTACGTTTTTAGTTTAATACTTGCATTGTATTATTTTGGAATTTATTTTGCCCTTTTTGGGGGCTGAAGAAAAGAATATTTAGAAGAAATCATACATCTAAGGGTGAGGATGATTATTTTTCCTTGCATGTATTAGTTTTATTGCTCCACCTCACAATTACTAGAGTAAGGGGGTAGTTAAGGTCTTTTATTGGGGTCGGGTAGTGGTACCAGGTCTCGTCTTTTATCCCACCCCTTGTATTATAATTAGACACTAGTTCCCCCATTTAATAATATCTAGTCCCCACTCACTGACTTTTAGGATGTCCTCCTTCCCATTTTTTAAAATTAATAGTCTTCACCCGCTAACCATGGGTAGTCCACCCGCCAACATTTAATTATTATAAAGTCCATTACCTAATATCCCCCCAGGGCCGGATTAACATAGGGGCTGATGGAGCTGCAGCTCCAGGCCCAGGCCCATGGAATAGGCCCATTGATTTAAAAAAAAAAAAAAAAAAATTATTATTTTTTTTCACACTACTCTTAGGGATTCCATCTGGCTTTTATTTTATTGGCACAGCCAGTATTTGGGGCTGCCTGGCGGTGCCAATATTGCAGTTATACTGGCAATACAAATGCTGGTATTTTTTATCAGTATAAACAAGAGATTACTCTGCAATACCAGCACTGGCCAGTAGGGGTCGCTGTGTGTGGAGACAGGCAGGGATAGGAAGTTCCAGCATATCCCTCCCTGCCTATCTATACTCACTGCTCTGCAGGGGTGCAGCTACAGAGAGTCCAGACAGCAACTCCCACCCTGCAGAGACAGCCTACAGCTCAGGGAAGTGAGGGATGCGGGGAAAGGCTGCAAGGAGACATATACTGAGACACTAAGGGACACTGGGAGACAATATGGCAGACACTGACACACTAAGGGACACTGGGAGACATTATGGCAGACACTAAGGGACACTGGGAGACATGGGTCACTGAGACACTGATACATAGGAACACAGACCTGGAGTAATCGACACATGGGGGCACTGAGTCATGAGGGCACTGGGAGACATGGGGGCACTGGGAGGAATCCATCTATACAGCAGAATCAAACTAAGTAGTTTTTTGGTGATTTTACAGCATTTTCTCTTATATCACTCCTTGTGATTTACATCATGTGATGTCATCCATACATATTTAATTATGCAAATTAGTAAGGCCGGTATGTTTTTCCAAGAAAGGTGGCAACTCTAACTACTTTTCACATACTCTTACTTAAGTATGGAAACTTAAGTGGGATGTATGGGAACAAAACTTGTGTGGACTGGCTGACAATGAATATAGTTAAAGGGACACTATAGTCACCAGAAAAACTACAGCTTATTGAATTTGTTCTGGTGAGTAGAATCATTACCGTCAAGCTTTTTGCTGTAAACACTGTCTTTTCAGAGAAAATGCAGTCTTTACATTACATCCTAGTGATAACTTCACTGGCCACTCCTTAGATGACTGTTAGAGATCCTTCCTGGGTCATGGCTGCCTAAAATGCATCCAAACATTCAGTGTCTCCTCCCTCTGCATGCAGACACTGAACTTTCCTCATAGAGATTCATTAATGAAATTCATCTATATAAGGAGATGCTGATTGGCCAGGGCTGTGTTTGAATCATACTGGCTCTGACCCTGATCTGCCTCTTTGTCAGTCTCAGCCAATCCTATGGGGAAGCACTGTGATTGGATCAGGCCACCACTTCTAATGATGTCAGCAGACTGCTTGTTTTTATGAGTCTAACAGCATGCCGAGTTACAGCTTCAGGCTTGAATATAGATTTTGCTATATTTATGGAGGCATGAGGGGTCCAGGGGGGGCTAGATGGTGGTGTTAATACTATAGGGTCATGAATTCATGTTTGTGTTCCTGACCCTATAGTGATCCTTTAAGGTAATGCTGACTTTGGTCTCTCTAACACTGTGGCATGTTCCCTTTCTTCTACACTCACTACATATAGCTTTACTCTGTCCCAGACCATATACCAGGATCTTCTGCCTGCTAGTAAGAAGGTAAGGAGACAAGTGGACCAGCGAGTGCTAGGGGACAGTCCTTAGAAAGCGTTGAGTGAGCGCATCATTAGATGCATTTATGCCAAGCTCAGGGTGTTGTCTGCATAGTATGCCCTTAGTTGGCCAGCTGCATGATTGGCAGGCAGCCTGACATGCATTCATGTCAGGCTGGCCTTCTAATTCTTTGAGCAGAAATGTCCTCTTTTTGGGCATGTTTGCCCGTTTTGGCAGGTTACGTGATTTGTGTCAGTGGCAAACCCTTTTATCGTGCCCATTGACTTCCTGCTTGATTGGACGTTGCTGTTAGGGGTTATGGATTTACTTGAAAGTTGAAAACATAAATTAGAGAGAGATTAGCCTAGGGTATGTGTTTTCTTATAGCTACTGTTTTCTTTCTCTCCAGCACCATCTCCATCAGATACATGATGCTTATGAGTGTTTTACTGTTTTTGGTCGATATGATTCTGTAATCAGGCCCGTCAGAATTGTCAGCACCAGGCCCACTGGGCTCTTAATCTGGCCCTGTATCCCCCTGACATTATTTTACAGCGATGACTGGACAGCTACTAGTTTTTATGTTTAGTATACATTCCCCAACCTGTCGCATGGCAGGTAGGTACATAAGGAATGTGTTTAACTGGGTAGTAGCTACCGAAGCAGTGGCGTACACATAATCCATGGAGCCCCGGTGCAAAACTGATCCATGGGACCCCCCTACCTCTCTACCCCCTGCCCCACACTGCCACCCTATACAGATACACAGAGATAAACACAGACACACATACATACAGACAAAAACACATACATACAGAGAGGCACATACATACAAACACACACATACACACAGATACATACAGACACATACACAGACACACATAGACACACATACACTAACACACACACACATACACTAACACATACATGCAAAATATTTTAGTTACCCTCCTATTACCTACCTTCTAGGTGCAGGACGGTGACGTCCCTGGGGTCCAGTGGCTCAGGTTGATGGGAGTCAGAGTTCCCACTCTGACTCCCTCTCCTTCCTCCCGCGCGGCTCCCGGTGGTTGCCGGGAGGAGTGACTAGGGCAGTCACTTTCTTCCAGCGTCTGACATCATCAGAGGGGGCCCAGCTGCGCTGTTACCGGGCCATCTCTGATGATGATATTAATTTCCCTAACAGCATAGGCCACCCGATGGACTCCTTCAAGTGCAGCCCCTGCAATTATACCGCGCGGCCAGGGCCGCAACACATGGCGGCGGAAACCCGGTCACAGGGGTCCGCAGGGAGTGACGGGCCCAGTCGCAGCTGCGACCCCTGTGACCGCGGTATGTACACCACTGTACCGAGGGTTATATTATTATCTATTTGCTTGCTGGGTACAAGGACTTCCAGCAGGCCATAGAGTGATGAATGGTCAGTCTAAATTAGGGGTCAATGAAAAATTTCACAGAATTTTGGCTGAAACAAATAGAAATGTGATTGCAAACCCATCAAATAAAAAAAAAATGTTTTGACCGTGCACATGTCTAATACCAGTACAGCTCGCTGTGGTGGTTCTGGTGCCAGGACCTTAGTATACCTATATTATATAGAGTAAATCATTTTTGACTAATATCCGAGACTGACCAGACTGCCAGACTACATTGACTATGTATGATGCACCTGGAGGTGTTTGTCATTGACTCTAGGATGAGACAACATTCATGACATTCATAACACCCTGGTGGCAATGATATTGACGGGAAACTGAATGTGTGTAACTTAGGCATATACAGATCACTGTGAATGTTCTTCATATTATGCAGGTCATAGTGATGGGATGTTACAGGAATATATAATGATACACCATGCAATTCCAGCAGCCTCAATCTGTCAAAAGCTTTATATACACTGATCCGCCACAACGGTAAAACCACCTGACTAATATTGTGTAGGTCCCATCTAAGATTACGTTCAAAACAAAGATATACCATACTAACACTGACGAGAAGGGCAAGGTATGCCTGGTTTTGATCAGTGCTGACAACTGGATTCCAAGGTAAGACTCGGGGATATGCTGGAATGTAAGGATGATGCGTTGAGGCAAGGACTCAACAAGAACTCTGAATATACTCTGTGTATCTGGCATCAAGACATTAGCAGCAGATTATTTAAGTACAAGGTAGGGTCTCCATGGATTGCATGTGTTTTTCTAGCACATCCAACAGATGTTCACTTTGATAGAGATCTGGGGAATTTTGAGGCTAAGACAACACATTGAACTCTATGTCATGTTCCCAAAACCATTCCTGAACAACTTCTGCAGTGTGGCAGGGTGCATTACCCTCCTGAAAAGGTCACTGCCATTAGGGAACACAATTGCCATGAAATGGTGTATGTGGTCTGCAGCAATCTCTAGGTAGGTGGTACCTTTCAAAGTAATATCCACATGAATGCTAGGACCAAGGGTTTTTGAGCAGAACATAACACTGTCTTTGCTGGCCTGCCTTCTTCCCATAGTGCATCCTGCTGCCATCTCTTCCCCCCGAAAATGACACACATGCACCTGGCCACCCACCTGATCTAAAAGAAAATGTGATTTAGCAGACAAGGCAACCTTCTACCATTGCCCCATGGTTAGTTTCTTGCTGCCTAATATATCCACTCCTTGACAGGTGCTATTGTAAAAATATAATCAATATTAATCTCTTCACCTGTTAGTGCTTTTAAAACAAGATTTTGGTGTGTATCACACCTTTGTGTCAACTAATCCAAATGTGTAACACACACCATGCACAGTGGTACTATTATTTCAATGATACAGCTTCCCAGGTGACTTTCCCAATCGACCATCCATCCCTCTCATCGTCAAATCTACACACAGTATTGGCATTCAGCTATGCATCTAGAACAAGGATGAATAAACAGCATATAGTGAAGTATGCCAAAGTACAAAAAAAAACGTTCTGAATATATGCACTCATAAGATTGTATGAAGTGTTGTGCCTTGGAGTGTCTCCCTTGATTAAGGCTAGGGGGCTATCATCTTCTTGTCCTGCATATCAACTTTTGGGTGATTGTTCGCATTTATATATTTATTTATTACATTCTTTATTTTTGTAGTGCTTAGTTTAACAAACATGCTTGCAATAAAATATCAGTGATATATAGGAATGAGAACATTAAAATCCAAGAATACTGCACTATTCATATATGAGATAAAAAGAAAGAAGCACGGAGTTGCAAAACTGAACATATACGCACCTGCACCAAGGCACATACCAACATAGCAAGTTGGAAGTGTAGTTGAGCGCCCAGCCAAGAAGCAAAGATGACCTCAACCCACACCAGATCAGGCAGCATTAACATGGGGATCATGGAGTTGCTGTCTGCCATCCCAGACCCAGAGCTAACTCAGAGGCAGTGTCCAACTTAGCAGAAGCTGGCCACAATACAAGCTCAGGTAAGACCCCTGAACACAGTGCTGCAGCAGATCGCTAGTGTGATGTTCCCATTCGGTGAGTATGAGAGCAGGGAGATGTTGTTGTCCAGGAGTCACTGATCCAGCTTGCTGCCCATGAGAATCCTGGTCTGAAAATGCCTGAGGATGGTTCTGGAGACCAGGATAACCTCCACCGTTCTAAGGGGGGAGGAAAGGGACACAGTGAAGTTTGCAGCTTCGAAAAAGGAACAGTGCACATACCACGCAGAAGATCAGCCGCATCTCCCACCAGAGCGAACCTCCAGGCCTCAACGCTCAGCGGCTGCTACACCCTGCGGACCAGGAATAAGTAGGTACCAAATAGCAAGAATAGAACTGTGATAGGTTCCTATGTCCCCTGGTACCAAGACAAAGCTGGATCCATAGGTGAGATATGCCAATTAGCTTAAAAAAACAAGAAAAGCTACGGAGGTCACAAACGTTGTTTCTATTCAGCCTTGCCCAGTCCACATATTTATATATTTTTATTATTCACTGTGTCCCTGAAAAAGGCCACTGACGTGTAGGAAACGCGTAGGACTGATTTTAATTGATTCAGTGTTTTTGTATTTATTATTTTATGTTAATTTGTACACAATAAATCATGTAAAATTAGTTACTTCATCTTTCTGCCAGCACTGAGCCACATAATTGGTGAAGAGGAGGACAAGAAGGTGATAGCCCTCCAGCCTTTACCAGGGGAGGCACCCCAAGGCACAAACTTCATACATTATTGTGAGTGCATATCTACAGCACAGATTGTTCATACTTCACTATATTCTATTTATTTATCCTTGTTTTAGATGCATAACTGAACCTCAATATTGTGTGTAGTGTTAATGTTGAGGCTGATCAGTAGCATGCACCACATTAGCACAATATCCTCACTGAGATACATGAGTTTTTGGGCAAAAAGGCCATCTGGTTGTACTTGCCACCTAGGCCAAATCAGCCTTCTCCTGACCACACTCTTTCATATATACATATAAATCCACACTCTCCCATACATGCACGTATAACAACGCTCTATCATATATTTATATACACCCTGTTCCAAATTATTATGCAAATGATATTTTTCTAATTTACCTAAATAATTGATGTAAATAACATTCAGCATAATTCTCATGTTATCAACTATTAAGAGTACAATTCAAATTTTATTGAACAAACCTCCTAAAGATAATAGTATTTTTTTTAAACATAAAAACTTACAATGCACTGTTCCAAATTATTACGCACAGTAAGTTTCAAAACACTTTATAGGTTGTAAAGAACTGGAAATTGTCATTTGTTGTGTTTGCAGCATATTTACTGAAATCAAAAGCTATTTCAATCAAACTTATAACAACATTTTAACTTTTTAAACATTTTAACAGGTCACGTTACATTTTAACATAGGACCACTTATTTGATAGCAGCTTCACAAGTCTTGCATCCATTGAACTTGTGAGTTTTTAGACCGTTTCTGCTTGAATTTGTTTGCAAGATGTCAGAATAGCCACTCAGAGCTGCTGTTTCGATGTAAACTGCCTCCCACCCTCATAGATCTTTTGCTTGAGGATGCTGCAAAGGTTCTCAATAGGATTGAGGTCAGGGGAGGATGGAGGCCACACCATGGCTTTCTCTCCTTTTATCCCCATAGCAGCCATTGATGCAAAGGTAGTCTTTGCAGCATGAGATGGTGCATTGTCATGCATGAAGATGATTTTATCACGGAAAGCATAGTTCTTCCTTCTGTACCAGGGAAGAAAGTGGTCAGTCAGAAACTCCACATACTTTGCAGAGGTCATCTTTACACCTTCGGGGACCCTAAAGGTGCCGACCAGCTCTCTTCCCATGATTCCGTCCCAAAACATGACTCCATGTTGCAGCCTTGTTGGAACAGGATGGCCGTCCACCAACCATCCACTACTCCATCCATCCGGACCATCCAGGGTTTGCACGGCACTCATCAGTGAGCAGGACTGTTTGAAAATTAGTCTTCATGTATTTTTCTGCCCAATGCAGCTGTTTCTGCTTGTGAGCATTGGTTAGCGGTGGCCGAATAGAAGGTTTATGCACAGTTGCAAGGCTATGGAGGACGCTACACCTTGATGTCCGTGGGACTCCAGAGGCATCAGCAGCTTCAAATATCTGTTTGCTGCTATGTAATGGTATTTTAGCAGCTGCTCTCTTGATCCGATGCATGGATCTGGGAGAAATCTTCCTCAATGTGCCTTTATCTGCACGAACCCGTCTGTGCTCTGAATCAGCCACAAATCTCTTAATAGAGCGATGATCACGCTTACGTTTTCGTGAAATATCTAATGTTTTCATACCTCGTCCAAGGCATTGAACTATTTCACTCTTTTCGGCAGCATATAGATCCTTTTTCTTCCCCATATTGCATGAAAATGGTGCTCTGCTTAATAATGTAGAACACCCTCCTTTAGTAGTTTTTCCTTAAATTGGGCTCACCTGGCAATTTAATTTTCACAGGTGTCCGAGATTGTTTTCAGTGATCAAAAGAGCCCTGAGACACAATGCCATCCATTAGTTAAACTGAGAAACAAAATATTTAATCTTTGTGACACTTAAATAGAATTTGCATAATAATTTGGAACAGGGGTATACACATGGTCATACTCAGAGTCTCTAAAACAGTTCTTCCCACATACTCCCATTTGTAAATATGGAGGTCATAGGCAAATTCTCACATACATACAGATGGTCATAGCCACACTCTCCTGTACATACAATCAGGAAGTCATAGCCACACTTTTCCATCCATACATACACAGAGGCGTTTTAGCCGCGAGGCAAACAAGGCATTTGCCTTGGGCAGCATTTTTCAGGGGGCGGCAAAAAACGCCGCCCCCAAATGCCCAGGGCAAATGCCTTGTTAGCCTTGCGGCTAACAGACAGGCCGGGCTGGGCGGTCGGCGCTGGGCGGGGGGTCGGCGAGGGAGCTCTTCCTCTGAGCGGTCCGCTCAGATCCCTCGCGCGCTGCAGAGTGAGGCTGGGAGCCGGAATATGACGTCATCTTCCAGCTCCCAGCCTCACTCTGCGGTGCGCGAGGGAGCTGAGCGGAACGCTCAGAGGAAGAGCTCCCTCGCCAGCCGCCAGCCCGCAGCCACTGGACCACCAGGGAGATAGAAAACCCCCCCCAGCATTCCCAAAGGAATGTGTGTGTGTTTGTTAGTGTGTCTGTTAATGTGTGTGTGTTTGCTAGTGTGTGTGTGTGTGTCTGACTGTGTGAGTGTGTCTTCTAGTGTGTGTCTGCTAGTGAGTTAGTGTGTGTCTGACTGTGTGTGTCTGTAGTGTGTATGCGTGTGTCTGACTGTGTGTGTGTGTGTCTGACAGTTTGTGTCTGACTGTGTGTATGTGTGTGTCTGACTGTGTGTGTGTGTCAGTGTGTGTGTCTGACTGTCTGTTAGTGTGTGTGTCTGACTGTGTGAGTGTGTCTGCTAGTGAGTTAGTGTGTGTCTGACTGTGTGTGTCTGTAGTGTGTATGTGTGTGTCTGACTGTGTGTGTGTGTCTGACAGTTTGTGTCTGACTGTCTGTTAGTGTGTGTGTCTGACTGTGTGTGTGTGTCTGTTAGTGTGTGTGTCTGACTGTCTGTTAGTGTGTGTGTCTGTTAGTGTGTGTGTGTGTGTCTGACAGTTTGTTTCTGTAAGTGTGTGTGTGTGCCAGTGTGTGTGTGTCTGTGTGTCTGATAGTGTGTGTGTCTGTTAGTGTGTGTGTGTGTGTGTGTTAGTGTGTGTGTCTGTTAGAGTGTGTGTGTCTGTTAGAGTGAGTGTGTCTGTTAGTGAGTGTGTGTGTGTGTCTGACAGTTTGTGTCTGTAAGTGTGTGTGTGTGCCAGTGTGTGTGTCTGTGTGTCTGATAGTGTGTGTGTCTGTTAGTGTGTGTGTGTGTCTGTTAATGTGTGTGTCTGTTAGAGTGTGTGTGTGTGTCTGTTAGAGTGAGTGTGTCTGTTAGTGAGTGTGTGTGTCTGTTAGCGTGTGTATGCGTATCTGTCAGTGAATGTGTGTGTACTTAGAAGGCGGGGCGGGGGGAAGGGTTGGGTGGGGCTGGCGCGGGGAGGGGGTGCCTGAGTTTTGTCCTGCCTAGGGCAGCACAAAACCAGGATACACCACTGTACATACATACTTGAGTGCACATGGACTCTCTGCTTTACATGCAGACAGGTGATCATAGCACCCCTTGTGCAAACATACCTACATACAAACAGACAAGTGTCAATTTCTGCATTTCTTTGTAAGTGCACATTGGTGGATTGGCAATGTCAATGAAATTAGATGTGTTTTTATGTGCAGTGTCAGCGTAAATGTGTGTGTACAGTATCAGTAGGGCAATGTGAGTATATCTATGTGTGCAATGGGTGCTCACAACTGTTTCCATATATTAAGTGCATGTCCACTTATGTACATGTGTGTCTTATTGTTTCACTATTATAACTGGTCAATACCCCCTTCTGTCTCTCTATATCCCCCACACCAACTTTCTGTGTCTTTTTACCACAACCCCTTCTTTTCTATTCCTTCAATGTCTGTCCTACACCCCCTTCAATGTTTCTCCTAAACACCCTCCTTCATTGTATGTTGCCTTCAGCCCCCTTTCATGTATCTATCACACTCCTCTTCTGTGCTCTTCTACATCACTTTCAATGTTTCTCTTCTACACTCCTCTGCAGTGTCATTGCTATACACCTTTCAGTGTCTGTCTCTTCTACATCTCTCCTACACCCCCTCCTACCTGTTCAGAGTGGGATCGGGGCAGAGAGCAGTCAATACTGCAAACTGAAGCTTTTTGCCAGGTGCTGCATGAGCCATGGAGAGTGGGGATATAATATAGCCCACATCCCCCCTCTCAGAGCACCACAGAGAAAACAACTCTATCACCTCTCCAGCTGTCAGGGGCAGACTCTTCCCTTTCCTCCCAGAATCAGTAAGACCATGGCTGCAACACATACAGTCCTGGTCTCAGGAGAGTGCCAGGACATTTTGTATATATCTTAGCTGCCTGTCTATTAATGATCAATTTGTAATCTACCAGTCAGCTCTCTGAGATCCACTGGTATAATATGGTCACGGCCACAAGTGACATAGGGAATATGAATATTTTTAATTAGATTTGTTCCATTATAAATTTAGCTTTATGGCTCCCTTGGATTATTTATAAAAATATAAAAGCTGATATTATGTTCACCTTTATTACAGTGCTAGGACAGACTCCTCACTGCAGACCTATCCGCCTACGGTGAAGTCATCAGTCCTCATTGAGAAGCACTGCAGGCATACGATGATGCATAACAATGGCCGTGATCAGGCAATCCAAAACTTCTCTAGGAGAAACATCAGCATGCAGTGCGAGTTGACACCAAATGCGAAGGCCTTCAAAAAGCAAATGATATGAAGGAGGAAGTATCTCCAGTGGTTTAGATATTCGAGTTTTTCTTTAATAGAAAAGATGTTAAAAAAACGTGTAAAATATGGAGTTTAGCCATGAATAGGGAGGACAGTAGAAAGGATTTAGATGAGTATGCATGTTTATAGACAGAGTGCACTAAATCAGACAGATTGTGTATGCGCTGTACCTACTATCAATAACTCAAGGACAAAAGTTAGGCGGTATGAAATTTACACAGGTAAACTATAGAAATAACCACATAGAGAGGGCATACAATATCTCACAAAAGTGAGTACACCCCTCACATTTTTGTAAATATTTTATTATATCTTTTCATGTGACAACATTGAAGAAATGACACTCTCCTACAATGTAAAGTAGTAAGTGTACAGCCTGTAGTAAGTGTACAGCCATCCTCTCAAAATAATTCAACACACAGCCAATTATGTTTAAACCGTTGGCAACAAAAGTGAGTACACCCATAAGTGGAAATGTCCAAATTGGGCCCAAAGTGTCAATATTTTGTGTGGCCACCATTAATTCAGCACTGCCTTAACCCTAACGAGAATGAAGTTCACCAGAGCTTCAGCGATTGCCACTGGAGTCCTCTTCCACTCCTCCATGACGACATCGCAGAGCTGGTGGATGTTAGGGACCTTGCACTCTCCCACCTTCCGTTTGAGGATGCCCCACAGATGCTCTATAGCATGGGTCGTGAACCTGGCCCCTACCGCCCGCTAGTGGGCGTTTCAGGATTCCAGGTGGGCGGTAGGAATTTCCTCATTTGGAGAAATTGGGCGGGCGGGTGCGAGCCGGCGGTACCCCTGCATTCGGGTACCGCCATCACCATTTGTATGTCTTGTGTGTGTCTTTGTATGTATGTCTTGTGTGTATCTGCATGTGTCTTTGTATGTATGTGTGTCTTATGTATGTGTCTTTGTATGTATGTCTTGTGTGTGTGTATGTGTGTCTTGTCTTTGTATGTATGTGTTGTGTGTGTACGTGTCTTTGTATGTATGTGTGTCTGTATGTATGTGTGTCTGTGTGTATGTTTGTATGTATGTGTCGTGTGGTCAGGGCCGGCCTTAGGGGTGTGCGAGCTGTGCGACCGCACAGGGCGCCATGGAACAGGGGGCGCCCTGTGGCCGACACAGCTCACTCATGGCCGGAGTGCAGGGGAGCTAAAAGAGGTACCTGGCTGGAGGATTAATTATTCTCCACCCGGGTCTATTAAAAAAAAATTAAAAAAAAATCGCGGCAGAGGGGGCGGGGTTTACCGAGCGGCGGAGGCGGGGCTTATCGAGAGGCGGAGACGGGGCTAATACCTCCCGAAGCCCCTGCTGTACAGGAAGAGGGAAAGATGCTTCCCATCAGCCAACTGCATCCACTGGAAAGAGGTAAGTGTGTGTGTGTGACTGTTTGCCTGTTTGTGTGACTGTCTGTCTGTGTGTGTGTGTGTGTGTGTGACTGTCTGTATGTGTGACTGCCTGCCTGTGTGCGTGTGACTGTCTGTGTGTGTGTGTGTGACTGTCTGTGTGACTGCCTGTCCTTGTGTGTGTGTGTGTGTGTGTGACTGTGTCTCTGTGTGTGTGTGTGACTGTCTCTGTGTGTGACTGCCTGCCTGTGTGTGACTGTCTGTGTGTGTGACTGTCTGTCTGTGTGACTGCCCATGTATGTGACTGCCTGTGTGTGTGACTGTCTGTCTGTGTGACTGCCTGTGTGTGTGAGACTGTCTGTCTGTGTGAGACTGTCTGTGTGTGTGACTGTCTGCCTGTGTGACTACCTGTGTGTGTGACTGCCTGTATGTGACTGCCTGCCTGCCTGTGTGTGTCTGTCTGTAACTATCTGTCTGTGTGTGACTGCCTGCCTGTGTGTGTGACTTTCTATCTGTGTGACTGCCTGCCTGTGTGTATATAACTGTCTATGTGTGTGTTACTGTGTGTCTGTCTGTGTGTGTGACTGCCTATGTGACTGTCTGTCTGTGTGTGTCGCTGTAGCTGTGCCATTGTTTGTGCCTGTGCCTGTATGTGTGACTGCCTTTAACTGAGTGTGTGTGTACATGCCTGTAACCGAGTTTAAATTTCCCCACCCCTTCCTGTCAAGGCCGCACTTTGACTGACAGACGCTCACTCACTGACAGACGCACACTCACTGACAGACACACACTCTCATATACACTGACAAACAATGACACACACACATACACTATTACTTGGACACACACTGACAGATGCACACTCTCACTGACAGACGCAAGCACTCACTGAAAGATGCACGACTCCACTGACCGACACATACACACTGACTGACACACACTCACTGACCGACACACACTCACTGACCTACACACTCACTGACCGACACATACACACTCACTGACCTACACACTCACTGACCGACACACACTCACTGACGACACATACACACTCACTGACGACACATACACACTCACTGACGACACATACACACTCACTGACTGACACATACACACTCACTGACGACATATACACACTCACTGACTGACACATACACACTCACTGACTGACACATATACACTCACTGACCAACACACACATTCACTCACAGACACACACACATTCACTTACAGACACACACAATTACACTTACAGACACACACACACACACACACATTCACTTCAAAATAAACACTCACAGACACACACACAGACATTTCCACTAACACTCACAAGCTAATATTTTTTACATTTATTTTAAATCCACCCAGCCTCCCTGGGAAAGCTGGAGTGGATTTCTTACCAGCAGTCCAGTGTGGCTGCTGGGCAGGCAGGCAGGGGGCGCACAGGCTGAGTAAGCAGCGCTTAGTGATGCCGGGAGCCGGACTGGCGTCATATTCTGGCTCCCGGCTTCATTAAGCGGCGCAGAGGAAGCTGAGCAGGAAGAGCTCAGGTGAGTATGCTCCTTCGCTGCCCGCTGCCAGCCTTGGGGGGGCTCAAAAGTGGCCAGCCGGTCAGCTCTTGAGCCCCCCAGGGTGCGAGGCAAGCAAGGGATCTGCCTGGGGGTTTGGAGGGATGCTTTTTTTTGCCGCCCCCTGCAAAGTGGCGCCCAAGGCAGATGCCATGTTTGCCTCGTGATACACACGTCCCCGGTGCCTGTGTGTGTTACTGTATTCAGGCAACTTGGTGGGAGGTGGGGGGGGCGCCGTGAAGACTTTTTGCACAGGGCGCCTAATTGCCTAAGGCCGGCCCTGCGTGTGGTGTATGTGTGCCTGTCTGTTTGTATGTATGTGTCATGTGTGTGTGTGTGTGCCTGTCTGTGTTTCTGTATGTGTCATGTGTGTGTGCCTGTCTGTTTGTATGTATGTTTCTTTGTATGTGTGTCTTGTGTGTGTGTCTGTATGTGTGTCTTGTATGTGTGCCTGTCTGTTATAGTGGGCTATAGTAAGTGGGCTACCTAGCTCAGCCTTCCTACTGGGCATTGCTATAAGTAAGGTTAAAAAATAGAAAAAAGGGGGAAAAAAGGTGGGGAGGGGAATTGAGGAGGAAGAGGAGTGGAGCTGACACACAGATGAGAAATCATATTATGCGCAAACAGAGAAGTCGTCTGAATATCACCGAAAGAGGAGACCTTCGTTTGTTCCTTACGAAAATCGAACCAGATATCAAATATTTAGTCTCGCAGCATCAACCTCAAGGATCTCATTAATCACTAGTAAAGGTAATTTCAATTTACTTTATTGTTTTCTCATTAAACTTTATAAAGTTAAAAACATTATAAACATGCATTAAGTAGAAATAAAAAGATAAATGTACGTACATTTATTTTTTTAAAACACCCTCCTTTCTAATAAATATTCCGCACTTGCGCGAAAACTGGTGGGCGGTAAGGAAATTTTTCCATCAAGAAAGATGCATTAGTGGGCGGTAGGAAGAAAAAGGTTGACTACCACTGCTCTATAGGGTTTAGGTCTAGAGACATGCATGGCCAGTCCATCACCTTTACCTTCAGCTTCTTTAGCAAGACAGTGGTCGTCTTGGAGGTGTGTTTGGGGTTGTTATCATGTTGAAATACTGCCCTGCGCTCCAGTCTCCGAAGGGAGGGGATCATACTCATGCAAGCCCAGACCCCGGGCCCCACATGTAGCAGCGGAACTGCTGCCGGTGTACTTGCACCGGGGCCCGCACGCTGATGGGGCCCATTGGTGGCCCGCGCACTTAGGCCCACCCTATGGTCCCTATATCTTCAGGGGGCCGGTCAGCTGTGGCCGTGGTATAGCGCGACCGGGCCCCTTTAAAAAAAAAAAAGCAGCCACAGCAAGTGCTGCTGGGAGGAAGTGGTCACTTCCTCCCAGCTCACTCCGCGCGGGAGGAGCACGCGCCCGTAAGTGAGGGAGAGCCGTGCCGACTACTCCCATCAGCCCCAGCCACCTTCCTGCAATGAAAAGGTAAGAAACAGGAGGGTGGCTGGAAAATGAGCTGTGTGTATGTATGTCTGTATGCATGTCTGTCTGTATGTATGTCTGTCTCTGTGTATGTCTGTATGCATGTATATATGTCTGTATGTATGTCTGTATGTCATTATAAATGTATGTATGCATGTATCAATGTATGTCATTATGTATGTCTGTCAGTCAGTATGTATGTATATATGCCTGTATGTCTGTATTTATGTATATATGTCTGTCAGTATGTCTGTCTGTATGTATGTATATATGCCTGTATGTCTGTCTGTATGTATGTATATATGTCTGTATGTCTGTCTGCATGTATGTATGCCAGTATGAATGTATGTCGTGATGTCATTATGTATGTCTGTATGTCTGTCAGTATGTATGTATGAATGTATGTCTGTATGTACGTATGCCAGTATCAATGTATGTATGAATGTATGTCTGCATATCATTATGAACGTGTCTGTGTGTATGGATGTCTGTATGCATGTATGTCAGTATGTATGTATGTCTGTATATATTATTATGATATTTATAGAGCGCCGTCAAATTCCGCAGCGCTTTACAATGGGTGGACGAACAGACATGTAGTTGTAACCAGACAAGTTGGACACACAGGAACAGAGGGGTTGAGGGCCCTGCTCAATGAGCTTACATGCTAGAGGGAGTGGGGTAAAATGACACAAAAAGGTAAGGCTAGTATTAGACTAGTGACAGTTGCAGAAGAGGAATCAGTCAGGAGCTATTAACAGTTTAATTGATACGCTTTTATGAAGAAGTGCATGTATGTCAGTCTGAATGTATGTATTTCTGTATGCCATTATGAATGTATGTCTGTATGCCATTATGAATGTATGTGTGTATGGATGTCAGTGTCTGTATGTCTGTCAGTATGTGTGTATGTATGTCGGTGTCTGTATGTATGACAGTGTGTATGTATGTGTCTTTATGTCCTCATGCATGTGTGTCTGTATGTATGTTAGTGTGTGTCTTTCACTATGTATGCTTGTGTGTCTGTATATGTGTGTATGTCTCAGTATGTGTGTCAGTATGTATGCCTGTATGCGTGTATGCCTATTTCAGTATGTGTGTCTGTTAGTATGTATCTGTGTCCTTTTGTATCAGTGTGTGTGTTTGTGTCTGTGTGTGTATTCCTGTGGACGGTATTTGGAGGCGGACCCCAGACCCTGAGCTGAGTTAGGGGCCCCAAAATTTCTGGTGGCGGCCCTGCCCAGACCATGACACTCCCACCACCATGCTTGACTGTAGGCAAGACACGCTTGTCTTTGTACTCCTCACCTGTTTGACACCATCTGAACCAAATAAGTTTATCTTGGTCTCATCGGACCACAGGATATGGTTCTAGTAATCCATGTCCTTAGTCTGCTTGTCTTCAGCAAACTGTTTGTGGGCTTTCTTGTACATCATCTTTAGAAGAGGCTTCCTTCTGGGAAGACAGCCATGCAGACCAATTTGATGCAGTGTATGCTCTGAGCACTGATAGGCTGAATCCCCACCCCGTCAAACTCTGCAGCAATGCTGGCAGTACTCATACGTCTATTTCCCAAAGACAACCTCCAGATATGACGCTGAGCACGTGCACTCAACTTCTTTGGTCAACCAGGGCGAGGCCTGTTCTGAGTGGAACCTGTCCTGTGAAACAGCTGTATGTTCTTGCCCACCGTGCTGCAGCTCAGTTTAAGAGTCTTGGCAATCTTCTTATAGCCAAGGCCATCTTTCTGTAGATCAACAATTCTTTTTTTCAGATCCTCAGAGAGTTCTTTGCCATGAGGTGCCATGTTGAACTTCCAGTGACCAATATGAGAGAGTGTGAGAGCGATAACACCAAATTTAACACATCTGCTCCCCATTCACACCTGAGACCTTGTAACACCGGGGAGGAAAAATAGCTAATTGGGCCCAATTTGGACATTTCCACTTAGGAGTGTACTCACTTTTGTTGCCAACGGTTTAGACATTAATGGCTGTGTGTTGAGTTATTTTGAGGGGACAGAAAATGTACACTGTTATCCAGGCTGTGCACTTACTACTTTACATTGTAGCGGAGTGTCATTTCTTCAGTGTTGTCACATGAAAAGATATAATAAAATATTTACAAAAATGTGAGGTCCCAAACTTTTGTGAGATACTGTAGGTTGCAAATTAGCAGTCCTATCAGACCCAGGACATTTAGGTGGTATGTTTTAGGATATTATTTTGATACAATCCTGTAACTTGCCCTTATACGGAACTAGGCCCATTAGAATCTTAATCCAGGACTGGAAAGAGTGAAATGATGATAGAACTAACTCATGCAATAGTGATAAAATGTCAGTAATAAACTCATGAAATCTCAGAAAAACCTCCTTAGTCACAACAACTGGCACTGAAGGCTTTAAATCTTGTGATGGGATTCTAGACCTCCCACAGCCTAAACACAACCTGCCAAAGCTCAAGTGATAAGTACAGCTAAACCTAGTGTGGCTTGGTAAAATAATAATGTTTTCCACGCAGGGGGAAAAGCTCTACAAGTAGCAGGATACCAGTAATTTTTTATTTTTTATTTTGGGTAGACTAATATAAGAGTCCTTTATAATTAAATATGTTATGCTCCTAAAAAAAATGCAGTACACAGTTTAAAAAGGACGGTTTGGCACAGAGAAAAAAAACTAATGAAAAAAATCTGACACATTTAATAAATTGCACTGAAATAATAAATGGCGATAAACTAACTCAAGCACTTTGATAAATCTCTTTCATTACCACCAAAGTATATGCCAAGTTCTAGCATGCGCACCCTATATGTTCATAGGTTCATAGATAGGCAGGGACTTAACAGATAGAATAGGATATGTCCCCTGATGTCCTCTGATATGTCTCCACTTCTCTGTACAAACAAAATAGCTTTTATTTGTTTTATTATTTTAAACAATGTATCTACTTTATGTCAACCATATCTTTGTAATAATCACTGTTTCAACTATTGAAAATTATGTTGATTTTGATGACGTCATTTTGGGGGGTATTTTAAATCTATAGTATTACTATACCCTATATAAACTCATGTATGTCAGGTGTGCCCCCCCTTTTATTACTATCTACTTGAAGAAGCCTGTGAGGCGAAACGCGTTTAGATATTGTTCCTATTTATTTCATAATAAAGAAATTTTATTGGCATAAAATACTTTATTGCCATATTATTTCTTTCTCTCTTTTACCTGACCATACATACATTGCATATTTTACAAGAAGTGCAAAGAATCCATAGGTGGGGATTATACCACCTAAGCGCTTACACCGAGCAGTCCAAGCCTGCTCCATATTACGTGAGTAGTATATTTTATACTCTTTTAACTTTGAATTATAATACAGAGAGCACTATATACTTTATTCTCTTCTTCTGGGTCCTATAACACCAATTTGGACGTTGAACCTACGCCAGATATCCACCTATCAAACCTTACTCCGCATATCCTTGAGTGGGGATTATTCCACTTCACGTGCGCAATATCAGAGCTGGATTTTAGCTCTGAAAAGTGTGAGTAAGACTAATTTGGCCAATATAATTTATTATTATATATTTTACTTACCTATATACTGTGCCATTGGAGTCCTGTTTTATTTTTTCTCTCTACATATGCTATATCAAACGTCAAGCATATAATCATGAAGACTTGATCCCATCTAAACATCCTAAGAATTTCCTTTCTACACTTGGGACCTACCATTACGGACTGTGATAAGTTTTTTTTACTATTGAAATCACTTATTTTATTCCTATATTTTATTATATTTTTATTTATATATTGTTATTATTATACATTTATATATTTTAGGCGCACCCTTATTTCATTGTTTGTTTTGTATTCCTTGTTACTATTAGGGGATTATTGGGGACTCCCCTTTGAGGAGTGCAGCCTTCTTATTTATATCTTGTGTGGCAATTTAACGCTGATTTTCTTCTTTTGTTTTTTCCAGTTCACACTATACAGGTTTAACCACAGAATATATCTGCAAAGATAAGTACAGTATCAGGTTGCTCACTCAAAGGCCCTGTGCCCCATAGGACCATAAATCAAGGTACACTCAATACAGAACGAGAAGCACAAACATTAAAAATAATTCAGCTTTATTATATAAACCAAATGTTCCCATGAAAAACATCAAAAACAATGAAGATCTAGTGCTAATTATCTGTACATCACAGAAAGACCATTAACCTGGATAACATATAGCAGTACAAGGAAAACAAAACAAAATATGAAAAAATACACAAAAAATAAATAGTAGAAAACCACAAAAAAAACTCTGGAAAAGTAGATTTTATCATGTCAGATATAGTAAAACCTGGGATACAAAAACAACTATAAAATACATACCACAATTAAACAGGAAGGCAAAAGAGTTGTGAGAAAAAGGGAATATCCAAGGAAATATCCCCATTTTGGTGGAATGCCTTTATCAAAGGACAGTGCATAGAGTGATGTAGATGGCCTCTGGGACCTTAATACAGACTTTGGAGTTTATAAGCATAGCACCACTTCTGCACAAACCCACAAGCCATCTAGTGTAAGGGAGAGCGGTGCAGTGTGATCATCACTAGTAAGAGTACTTGAGTTATGACTAATAGGTTGCAGGGGAGATGGGAAGAGAGACACATGGGGGTTATAATAGATGGGGAGATGAGCTAGGAAGGTTATGAGTGGGGAGAGGACACAAGGGAGTTTATAAGAGACAAACAGAGAGATACAGTAAAGGTTATAAGAGATGGAAGACAGATACAATGGATGTTATAGGAGTTAAGGGGAGAAACAGAAGGGTCATTATAGGCGAGATAAATGTAGCCCATGGATCAGCACAGCTAGGGGAGTGGGCCTTGACAGAGCCAGGAGGTAGGCATAACAGCCATAGAAAGCCTGAGTGACAGCTAGCGGAGCCACAATGGATATATTTATACCGGCCATCTTATGAAGTGGCCATTTTAACTGAACCTAAACGTACCTGTCAGTTGTCCCTCCCACCCTCCTTGAATTTGATTAGGTTAGATCATTTTTCCAGTTTTGGCAAGGTTAAATCGGGGGGTAGATGGAGGAGGAAGTGGGCATCCTGAGGTTTAGTGTGGATTAGGCAGTGTTACACATGATTGGTAGGTTCAAGCCCATCGGTGGCTCAGAACCTGGGGGTGTAGCGGTGTCTCGGTACACCCTACACTGGAACTTGTGGGTAATGGTGTCTTGGTACACCTCTACAATTGATCTGGTGGGTAGCGGTGCCTTGGTACACCCCTACAATCGATATGGTGGGTAGCGGTATTATTGTTATTATTGTGGGGTCATTGGCAGGGGTATGTTATGTACATGGGGGGATGTTGACTTTAATAAGATTTTTTTTGGCAATGACCCCATTTGTTAATTATTAATAAAGCTGTGGACTAATATTTCCAACAGTATAACCTGTGTCCGTGTCTTAATGGGGGTTTGGGTAAGGTTAGCGCATATGCCGGCAAATCCGACTGTGCGCATGTCAAGATAGGTTAGGGGAGATTAGAAAAGAAACACAAGGAAAAATTGAGGAATACAGATAGAATCACGCTAAGATGAGAGAAGATGGGGAGAAGGAATTGGGTGTTGGCCTTGAAAGCAGTTATCAAAGAAGAGCCATCAAAGGTGTCCACTGCTTTTTTTTATTTGTAATCCCCTAACTACTCTGAGAAGTAAAAGAAGCCTAAGGGTCCTCACTGTTTTCATACAATCTGTATGGCAGCCCATCTAGCCTAGTCATAAAGGACATTTCCACTGCAGCACAATGCCTGCTGGTAACACTGGCAGATTCCAGGAGGGTTTACTATCGCAATATACCGTAACAATACGATTCATCGCCTGCTAGTTCAGTAAATAGCCCTGTGTGTGTGTGTGTGTGTGTTTGTTTCAATGTGGAGCCCCAGCCCAGGAGGCTCTTCCTTTAATCTAATGACATCATGGTTATGTAGAGGGTAACCCATGCTGTATGGCCCCAGTCACTGGCAGCCATCTCCCTCTCTCTATATACTGACACTGTGTGAGGGCTGACTGAGCCTCATGGTATTACAATATCCCCCCCCCCAATGCTGCCCTGGGTCTCAGCACACATTATGTCACCCTCCTGGTTTTAAAGTCCCCCTTTCCCTCCCCACCCCCCTCGGTTGCCCGGTGACCCAGCTCAGGCGCACCAGGAAGTGCCGGCCCTTTAGCCGCGATGCATTGTGGGGAAATCCACTCAGATCCAAGATGGCGGCCAGCAGGAGGCTGATGAAGGTAATGGGGGGGAATAGGGCGGCTCTTTTATTCGGGCGGCGGGGGTCCGCGTGTTGCTCAGCCCGTTCCTCGCCTCGGGCCGGCTCTCACCCGGGATCTGACACCCGCTCACCCCGCGGGCGGGGCGCCCTCCGGGACTAGGCCGCAAATCCCCGGACTAACCCCGCGCCGCCCGCCGAACCCGGCAACCCTTGGTCCCGTGGGCAGGAGGACGGCCGGGGAGCGGTGACTGTCCGCCTGGTATCATAATGGGGGAGGGGGGCCGTGTGTGAACAGCTCCGGCCCGCTGTGAGTGGGGGCCACGGAGGGATTTAATGTCGGTGCAGGAGCTGCAGGTCAGCAATAACTAGAACAGCCATCCTGCTTCCTGCCCCCCCTGTCCCTGGGCTGGCAGGACCCCCTATCCACGGACTGGCAGGACCCCCTATCCACGGACTGGCAGGACCCCCTATCCACGGGGCAGGACCCCCCTATCCACGGGCTGGCCCCCCTATCCACGGACTGGCAGGACCCCTATCCCTGGGCTGGCAGGACCTCCCCCCCCCTATCCCCAGGATTGGCAGGATCCCCTCCCTATCCACGGACTGGCAGGACCCCCCTCCCCTATCCACGGACTGGCAGGACTATCCACGGACTGGCAGGACCCCCCCCCTCCCCTATCCACGGACTGGCAGGACCCCCCCCTCCCTATCCACGGACTGGCGGGACCCCCCTCCCCTATCCACGGACTGGCAGGACCCCCCCCTCCTATCCACGGACTGGCAGGACCCCTCCCTATCCACGGATTGGCAGGACCCCCCTCCCTATCCACGGACTGGCAGGACCCCCTATCCACGGACTGGCAGGGAGGGCACTGGGCGGCTGTATTGTTCGCTGGAGAGTGAATGGGAGCTCTCTGGGCGTGCAGTCACTGCAATCTGGCTCTGGGTGGATATTTCCTGGTGACAAACCTTCATTATAATATGCAGTTTCGGCTTCCTCATTGAAACCCGGCTCTGTGTTCATAGTATCGGGTTATTCGGGGGTATTATCTGCCAATCCATGGTCGGGGGGATGTGTGGCACTTTATATTGATATAATTTGATACCCCTAGTAAGATAACTTCTTATGAAGGCAATTAAAGTAGTGGATGACTGAGTGTTTTATACCAGTTACTCCGGTTTAGCTTTTATGTGCCTTAAAGTGTGTGAGCGGTGATCTGTAATACTGCTCCAATACAGGGAACCGAATTTAATTGATGTGTAATGTTAGATTCCTTGTAGTTTTGTTGTGATGGCTCTCATTGTCTATTTTCTTTACCGGGCGATCTCCTGCTGGTAATCTTGACACCACTTCCTGGATCACACTACTGCTTTAATGTTTTACCCATCACATACTCATTCCTAGATGTTAACTCCCCCATCCACTATCTCCTTTTACAAATAGTTAAGCCAGTCCTTTTACTGACAATGGCTCGTAAAATAATTAATGATGGGGGATAATTTCAGGCTTTGCCCGCTGAGGAAGTTCTTGAATCTTTATGAATAGACAAACTGTCTGCACAATCAAAAATGAAAGTTAGAATCTTTCACCCCTCCTACTGTTGTCAACAAAAAATACCAGTATATGTAGTGAAAAAACGATTACTGGTAGATGTTTAAGTTTAGAAATTTAATGTCTCTAATATTGTAAGTCTAATACATTTGAACTGTATAAATTAGATTTTAGGTGTCTGTCTTTGCCTTCATATTGTGATATGGATTAATTTGTGTAATCTCAAAAAAGCATTGTGGATATCATGTCTAAGGTAAAAAGTGAACTCTGATTTATATATAGAGAGAGATCACTTTTTATAGTTAAAATATATAATTTATACAATGCACACCAGTCAAGCCATAAGACTTGCTTTTCCCACAGAAATCGCAAATCTGCAGTGATGTTACTACTGCAAAGGATTCTGGGTGGGCATATGCAAATTAGTTTAACAAAGAATCACATTTTTGCCTCATTCCATTTTAAACATGGATTCATTTGAGTCTGTGTTTGCAGTATACAACAGCTTTAATACACAACTAGGAAAAAATGCAAAGCCAGTGAACCACTCATGGGCAGCTGTTTCATTGTTAATGCAAAGCATCAGCATAAGGTTGGTTATATATGTGTTTATTAACCCCTGGTTCAGTACCCAAAAATTGGTACACATGCTGTCTCAGCAAGTCTCTAAGTGATTGTTAAACACATCATGTTAATGTGCCCTTGACAACAGCCTGCAACCGTTTATTTTAGTGGCTATTGCCTTCTCTTGGTAATGGCAACCTTTCTGACAGTGAGAAAAGTCCAACAAATGTATATTTTCTGGATATATCCATGGCAGCACTACAGATGGGTTTAGCTCCGCCCACTTGCAAAATGGCTGGGAACACCTAATTAAAAAATAAGAGGCCTTCCCCTACCCTTCAGTCTTTTTTTCCTGTCCACTTTGGACACAGAATGCTTTGCACCAACTTTTTCTTTTGTGACTTACTTGGGTCGTACCGCTATCCTATGGGAAGTTCAGTGAGAAAAGTCCAACAAATGTACATTTAAGTATTCCTATCGCTGCCTGGTAATACCTGAGGCCACCTTAGGTTCCAGTGCACAAGTGCTTTGTGCAGGAAACACATATGGAGGTTTGATCATGTAAAATTACTTCTTTTTATCCTGTTAATGTGAGCTGTGTGTGTGTATATGTATATATTATTTTTTTGTAAACTACTTTAGTTGTAGACCTTCTTTACTCAGGTTTTTTTCTGATGGCTTCAGTTTTGTTTGCATATAGGGCTCACTGCCCAAGCATTGCCTGTATAAAATTAGGTGGGGTTGCATCAAAGTGATTGAGTTCGTTGGAAAAGGTTGTGTTAGCCAAGAATGTATGTCAAGTTGATTGGCAGCCCTTCTAGCCAACCAGCCTGGACTGCTTGCATGCACAGTGTGACCATGTTTTAATGGATTGGTAGCTCCAGGTTCCCAAATTGGTACTGTTCTTCTGGATATAGGACTCTAGATAATTGCCTTTATATTTTTATATATATATATATATATATATATATATATATATATATACACACATACATACATACTCTGATGGTCAAAGGGCACTTATTCCACAGAGAATCATTTTGTACACATCAAGGAGTAGCTAAGGTCTCTCTGCTTCTCCCGATCCTCACATATTTCCACTGGTAGTCTAGTACATATTGTTTAAACCCTTACACAGTTTGTTAGACATAAATGTAATCTTTCGTAAGAAAGTTGTATTCCACGTTTCAATGTGCATTGGTTAGCTTATGATCTCTTGCATTATTAGCTTCCTTCTTGCTCTTCAATGACTGAAACTAATTTTGTCTTAACTGCTGTTCATGTACAAAGAAACTGTCATAGAACTTTCATTAGAATACTGAGAAAAGGCTGTACATGCTAAAGTGCAAGTGGATTTTGATATTCTTTTTACGTAAAAAAAAAAATGCATGAAGTATACTTGATTAGAAGCATTCTTAAACCTTTTTTGCTAAACGTCTTTTAACCAAACAACTCTTAACTTGATGATAAAGGCAATCATCGTTAATCCTATTTGAAGATTAATCTGTTCTCCTCCCACCTCACCCCAACACACGCACACATTTTATGACTGTTGTAAGTTTAATTACTCTAGATTATTTACATTTAACCTAATGCCAGAATGACTGATGTGTTCCAGTCATCTTGCACCTTTCAGATAGTGCAAGATGAGATTACTTTGATTATGCTTCGAATACTGTAGTCAAATATTTCCTCACATGATGTAGTCTAGAAGGAACCTAAAAGTTTCATAACCTAAATGTGAATTTAAATATTAATGTTTCCACCAGTTTTTCTTTTACTCCCAAATTGAAAGCAGATTTGGTACACATTGGACTGGTCATGTCTGCCAAAGAGGTGTTTGTCCAACTGGTTATTCAAGAGCTGTATTTTTGACAAAGTTTTAGGATTTATCTAACATGTAATCATATATTGTGTTTTACCACCAAGTGTTGTGTGATGCTTTGTTACAGGGCCTTTAGAAACATGATTTAATTTCATGTCGCTATCAATACGTACATAGGATAATAGTAGTAGCAGTAATTTGGCAATGTTAAAGTGTCCAGTTTTACAGTTGGCAATTTCATAACTGGCTCAAAAATATCATGGTTTGGTACAGCAGACACTTATTTCGGGTTAATTTGTGCATAAACAAAAAAATATATTTTTGCTTCTCTAACTGTATGTTGTATCAATTGCAGCATTTTTGGCTAATGGATGTCTGTTATATGTGTAAGATGGACAGGTATTTAAAAGGACACTGTAAACACAAAGCAACTTTAGCCTGAATTAAGTTGTTTTGGTGCATGGATCACTCTCCTGCAATCTGCTTAACTGTCTGCCGTTTATGCACTATTATTTCTACAGCCATAGCTATGCCTCCATTGGCTGTGGCTTACACAGCTTCCCTACACACTTCTTAAAAAGAAGTGTTCATTTTCAGACCTATCTAAGCAGAGTGTGTTGACTTAAGAATTTCTTGTCTATTGCTCCATTAATTGCCTGCTAGCGGAAATAATCTCCTTTGTGAGATTAGATAAAGAAGAAATCAAATCTTCACAGGAAGAAACTCTTATTCTTTGAAACCATTAGTCTTGCGATATTCTCAGAGAATCCCATTTTGGGAACTGCTCCATCACAGTGTCAGTACTTCTTTTATTCATACAATTTGTAATAGATCCAGCATTATTTTAGTAAACTAATCTCTTATTTTTGTTTTCATAGTGCTTCTTTATGAGAAGTATTCAGTTGGGACACTGCCTAGCATGAGCAAGAAATGTAACTTTGCAAAAAAAAAAAAAAAAGAGGGTGGGTCAGCTTAGCTACAGAGCCTACAAATGATGAAGGCGGTTTAATGTTAAAAAAAAAATTGCTTCTTTCTTTACTCTACATTTTCACTTTAAACAACTGTAGGAATCCCTTTTTATATAATGATTTCACCACATGCGCAAATAACACTACTTTGCAGTATTTGATGGATCCAGGTCCTGGAGTTACGGTTTAGTGATTACAAACAATTCCTTCTGATACTGTTCATGTTTCATAAAGCCATTATTGTTAATACAACCTTATTTTTAAGAAATCCTCTGCAACACTAGTGCATGCATCCTGTGTGGCCAAGTCTCTGGGTAAAAGAGTTAAAGGGGTCTAATATTGCAGTGCAGTAATTTTTATCCTGGACCAAAGAGAACAGTGTTACCTCAGATTTAACCACCTGGTTCTGTCATTGTCGGACAACTATACATGTTAAGATTCCCATTTGAAGGCTGCTCAAAAGGGCTACATACAATGCACATATTGTAGAACAGTGACAGGATGTCACCCATATAAATATTCTCAAAGCAGATCAGGTGTCTGAACAGAAAATTCATAGCACTCAATACTTTAAAGTAGGCAAATGTCTTCAAGGAAGGGAGTTCTGTCCACGAGGTAAAGGCTGCATCTGTTTGTTTGCGGTGTTAAATTATTTTTATTAATCTTATTGAATTCTGTTCAACAAGGATAGCGTATCTTTGGAAGAATTCATATTGGCTTTGTCAGTACCATCAAGACATGAAAATGGATAATCTAACTAGTACTTACTCACAGAACAAGGAGAGGAATGTGAGTTGGAGAAATGGTCCTATGCAAGGGTAATTAAGTGCAGAATAAGGTAGTCTAAGAGCCTGACATTTGTTAAATAGAATGCTGGGTATGTAGAAGATCACAGTGGCTCCAAATATCCTCTTGTGGTGTTTATGCTAGCTTATAGACCTTTTTTTTTATAGGTGCAAAATGAAGTTGTATATATATTGAGCTCTTTCTATGTGGCTTGAAAGAAGAACATTACTCATATACTTGGGAAACCCTGAGATCCAGTTATATACCTAGAGGTGGAATATCAGAGACATGTCAACTTACCATAGTTTTTTCAGCTCTCGTGGATCATGGTGTCTCCAAATACTATTTGCTAGGGTTTTCTCTCAGCAAGTGGATGATTTGTGGCAAGGCCCAACTCAAAAAGGTGTAACAGGTGCAGTAAGAACAGTTATTGCTGGTTCCAAACACCAGAGGATGACTCCTGTCAGGACTGTAGGTCTGTGAGTATCACAAGGAAAATATGGGTTGTCAAGGCCTACATATACATCTTATCTCAGGATTCCAGTGGTTGCTGCCTTTAGTGCTTCCATCCACATCAGGAGAGCAATATAGGAATGCTAGACCTGCAAGGTGGCCACAACTGTAGTGGCATTTTTGTGTTGTAAGTCCTCATTCAAATTTATACAGCTTCCAGATGTGTTAATCTCTTGTCACACAACTAGTTCCTTTGCAAATGGCTGCCTTGTTTCTTCTGATTGAGCATCCTAATGTTCCCTTTTAGATGTGAAGGGCTAAGAGAGGGGGCTTTTCAGATGGATTTTGCTGGCCTTCCTTAGCCAGTATACTCTGTAGAGCATCTGGTCCCCAACACGTCATTTTAATAGAAGTGCCTGTTCTTTTCTTCATAACTTAAAACCAGTTTCAATGGCAAAATATGGAGTAGGAAAGACAGCAGTACTATGGCTATCATTCTCAAAGATAAGTATTTGCAATCTACCTATTTCACTCCAGAAGATGTGTATAGCCACACATGACCAATGGCAGTGAAGCAGGACAACTGTTCATTTTACTTTAAAAATAAAATACTCTGTACCTATTTCTTCTAAGTATTTCTTTGAAATAAATATAAAGCGGCTCTGTCACTTTCTGGGGTCATTGCATATAGTGACTTGGCCACATGGTGTGCAGGGGAAGGTAAGTTTTCTACTTCTCTGAAGCAGTCCGTCACGACCACCTCCCTCAGCATTTGGCGCTTCATCTGTCAGGAGCCAATTTCAGTGATGTACTCTCATACTTGCAAGAGTACAGCCGTGAGGCCTATGGAGAGACTACAGGAGCCTCCCTAGTTAATGCCTTTCCCGCCCACCCCACAGCTGTCAGTAGAGCTCCTTCAGATGACAGATGTGTAAAATTCAGCCCAGAAGCCACTCTTTATTTTTTTAATATTTTTTACATTTTTATGCATAGCATCAATACAGACAAGCTCGGGGTGCCCCAACAGCAATCCTCAAGCGTGTGGTCATGCATAACATTAGGAGCAACAGAGAAATCATGCACATTTTAAAACATTTTATAGTACTTGTCTAGCTGGGAGGCATATGAGTGGAAGTATAAGCAAGCATGATACTAATACGATATAGACTTCACATGAGACATTTGTATGACAGCGCTGTAAGAAGCAGGAAGATTAATGCTTCAGTGGGGCTTGCTTAGAGTGCGTACTCTGACAGGATAAGATGCCTCTGTATGTGTAGGAGAGTGAAATAAACATGCTTAACTGAAATAAAAAACGAATAACATGATGGTATACTTTAGGGTTTGACCGATTATCGGTCTGGCCGATATCATCGGCTGATATTCAGTATTTTTGGCAATATCGCTATTGGCCTATAGAGATACTGATATTGCCGATAATACATACCAGGAGGTCCTGAAGGGCCCAGCAAGCTCTTACTTACCTTCCCAGCAGCTCCCTTCAGCCCCCCCTGTCTAAATCTCGCGAGTCCTGCGGCTGTCAGAGCGTTGCCACGGGCTACCATGGCAATGCTCCGCGCGGCACGCAGCCCACGACATTTACACAAGGGAGCTGCTGGGAAGGTAAGTAAGAGCTAGCTGCAGGCCCCCACTGCACAACCCATGCCACCGGACTACCAGGGAATGCTATATCCCACTCTCTGGCCAAGTTAGAGATTTTTTAAATATTAAAACTTTTTTTAATAAAAATTACATACCTACAGAAACACACACTACACAAAAATACACAAACACACTCTGCATTCATTATAAACACACACACACACACACACTCTGCATTCATTATAAACACACACACACACACACACTCTGCATTCATTATAAACACACACACAATACACCTTACCCATTATGCAAAACACACACACACACACTCTCTGCATTCATTAGTAAACACACACACACACACACTCTGCATTCATTATAAACACATACACACACACACTTCTATTCATTATAAACACACACACACACCCTGCATTCATTATGTCAACACACACACACACCCCCTCTGCATTCCGGCCAGTAAACACACACACACCCTCATTCATTATGCAACACACACACACACTCTCTCTGCATTCATTAGTAAACACACACACACACTCCCCTTGCATTCATTTATAAACACACACACACACACACACACTCTGCATTCATTATAAACACACACACACACACACTCTGCATTCATTATAAACACAATAACACACACACACCTGCATTCATTATAAACATAATACACACACACACACCCTCTGCATTCATTATAAACACACACACACACACACTCTGCATTCATTATAAACACACACACACACACACACTCTGCATTCATTATAAACACACACACACACACACACACACTCTGCATTCATTATAAACACACACACACACACACACTCTGCATTCATTATAAACACACATTCACTATGCGCGCACACAGCTCCCCTGTCTAAACACACTGCATCCACTACATGTGGCATGCATATTTTGTGCATTTACCTTTTAGAAATAGTTTATTTTTTCAAAATGGTAAATGTACAGAACATCAGTAAGTTATCGGCTATCTGCCTGAAAGTTCACAGATTATCGGTAAATAAATATTGGTCGATCCCTAGTATATGTTATGACTAAAGGTAGGCACATCAGTGGTTCTCAGGCAGTAAGAGATGTGTGGAAACAAACCGCCATTGGTAGCTAATGCCTCCACCCACCTCTTCCCCCTGCAGGGAGTGTGTAGTGTGTGCATAGTGAATGCAGTGTATTTGTGTAGTGTGTGTGTATATAATGAATGAAAACACTGCATTCACTATGCACACACTATTCACACATACTCTGCATTCATTATATACACACTACACAAACACGCACTGCATCCACTATACACACACATTCTTGAAAAGATAAAAAATTCTGACTGGCATGTATATTTTGTGCATTTACCTTAATAAAGATAAACCTGTTCAGTTAACGGTAGATTTGTGTAGAAAAAGTTTTTTTTTTTTTTTTTTAACTTGCCTGTATTCAGACATAATAGGTAACACTTGTCTAGCTCAATCATCACCATATCTGTGGAGAATATTAATGTTAAATGAATGTTAAGTAATATTGGAACATAAAAATAAAATAAATAAACCTGTTCAGTTAACAGTAGATTTGTGTAGAAATATTTTGTAATTTTTAAAAAAATTTTAACGGTAAATGTACATAATATCGTTATCGGCTATTGGCCTGAAAGTTCACAGATTATCTGTATCGTCTCTTAAAAAAAATAAACATTGGTCGATCCCTAGTCAATTTAACCCCTTCAGGACGAAGTCAATAGTACACGTTCTGATCAAAACAAAACGTAAACAAAAACTGGAATTTGCGCTATATGTCTGTTCAACCGTAATTAACCTCTTTCATATTAAATGCAGCCACACTTATTATATATCATTTTGTTCAGGAGAAACAGGGCTTTCATTTCATATCAAATATTTATATATGAAACATAATTTATTATAAATAAAATTTTTAAAAACTGTGAGAAATTGTAATTTAAAAAAAAAAAAAATTGTAGTTCCGCCTCACATTTTAGCTGTAAATGTCATAATACTGTTAGGTTTTACTGCAAAACAATGCACATATTTGTAATCAGCTGTGTCTCACGAGTACAACAGTACCCCCATTAACAGGTTTTATGTAGTGATGTCGCGAACCGTTTGCGAACTTGCCGCGAACGGTTCGCCACGAACTGTTCGTGGCGAACTCCGGCTGACACATCCCTGCCAATCTCCGGCAGACCCTCCCTCCCAGACCCTCCTACTTCCTGGACAGCATCCATGTTGAAGCTGCCGTCAACATGGATGCTGTCCAGGAAGTAGGCGGGTCTGGGAGGGAGGGTCTGCCGGAGATTGGCAGGGATGTGTCAGCTGACCGGAGTCGCGGCAAGTTCGCGACATCACTACATAAAACCTGTTAATGGGGGTACTGTTGTACTCGTGAGACACAGCTGATTACAAATATGTGCATTGTTTTGCAGTAAAACCTAACAGTATTATGACATTTACAGCTAAAATGTGAGGCGGAACTACAATTTTTTTAAATATATATTAACAAAATACAGTTAGAATGAAATTACATATGAATATATAATTTATATTAAATTTTGTTTCAATATTTTATTTATTGTAATTATAAGTGTGTGTGTATATAATATATACATATTATATATGTAATGTCATTCTAAGTGTATTTTAATATTAATATATATGCTAATTAGTATTAAAATACACTTTGTATGACGTTATATATATATATATATATACTTTTAATTTATTTTTAAACATGTTTAATTTTTTATTTTTTATTTTTTGCTACTTCCCACCAGCAGGGGGACTGTCTGATATCTCAGGCAGTCCCCCTGCTGGCAGATCCACAGCCAGCTATAGGGGGCCTCACTTGCTGGAGGAGAGCTGCCTGAGCTCTCAGGCAGCCCTCCAGAAGAGGATCGCAGCGGAGGCAAGTACCGCCGAGGTCCTGGGGGCTTAAGCCGTTACGGCGTTCTATGCCGCTGCAATGGCTTTAAAGCCGCGACGGCATAGAACGCCGTAACGGCGTTAAGGGGTTGATCAAACAACTGCCCTGGTCAACTTTAAGTGTTGTCAGAACAGAGCTGCAGTGTGGAGAAGCCATGCAGCTATGCACGACCCCTGTACAATGCATAATACCCACAGGGTTACTCTCTAAATTTAAAATAAATGGCAGAGAATGGAGCAGTGAATCCGGAGAGGCATGGTCTATACACTAAAACTGCTTCATTAAGCTAAAGTTGTTTAGGTGACTGCAGTGTTCCTTTAAACCATTTTGACCAGCTTAAAGCAGCTGTCTTGTGTGGTCTTTAAGTGACAAACGGGAGTATAATCATTAATGGGATACTCTGCACTATGCTCAATTCAATGACATGAAATGGTTATAGAACCTACAGTACCCTGGCATTGTCCCTCCATTCAGCATTTGAGAAGTTTAACACTGAATGGGGTTCCCTGGCTTCCAGTAGTTCTACACTCACAGGGGGTGTGGCTAAGGCCACAATTACACACTTCCTTTCAGCCATACCCATTCCCACGTGTTATAGGCTGAAACTGGTCAGCTGACAGTCAACAATTGTTGCTCAGGCTAATGCTTCCTTTTAGTCCAAGCAGCACAGAGGTGATTAAATGCTGGGAATTTTTGTTTGATATTAAACATAAAATATGGTTTAACACTTAATGAAATGACCAAGTCAGGGTACTCCATATACTACAGTATAACAAATTAAATTCGATTAAGCTGTTAGTGTCTACAGTATCCCTTTTAAAGCTTATATTCTTTTTGAATGAGAGCAGATCTACTTTTGGCCACATTGTGTTGTAGACAGTGACAAGATTCTCTGTATAGTTGGATAGGTGTTTTTTATATTTATAAAAAAAAATATATAAAAACTGCACTTTGGATTGTATTTCATTTAAAAAAAAAAAACCAACTCTGACACAATGCAATAAATAATTAGAGAATCAAAATTTCAAATAAAGTCTATTTACAAAACTCCAACTAGTTAATGCAGCTGCAATATGATTGCTATTAATTTGAGCAGTCTGTTTGTATCATCCTTTGATTATGATGATTGAAATTGCTGTATAAAGATAAACTACTTTTCTAATAACCTGTTTCCAAAGTGATTTTTTTTTTTTTAATACCCATATGTGCATTAAAAATATATATGGATCGTGAGAGGGGCCTGATCGCTGACTGGGAAAGTCGCATGTAGCATGAGCTCCTCAGAGAAAACTTAGGTACAAGCCTAATACTGGACAGTTGTAACCCATTCTAGACCACAAACCGATTACTAACCTGTTGGGTGACTGAACTGCTTCTGTTTGACACCGGTGGACATTAATTCATGAAGGGCCTCTCTGTTTCTGAGTCTTATGAGCCGCCATCACAAGGCAAAGCTTTTCCCACTCGGCTACCGCGTGGCATCACACAGACCCAGGAGACCAGCACAAAGGGCAAACAAGCGCCGCAGGCACAGAATGCGCAACTGCTCCTGCTCATCTGTACTACATGGCATCAGGTGCCATCTCTCAGACCCCAGCCTGCCCACTCAAAGGATTGCGGCGCTAGGTACACGGGACCAAGAGATTGCAGGCACAAGCCACAGCTGCCAGACACGATTGCACACAGGGAAGCACCCTGCTGACTGGCCTGGGAGCTGGGGCCCATGTAGAAGGCCCTATCAGTATGAATGGACTGTGTGTCTCTTCCACTACAGGAGTTAGCTATGACCATAATCCCTATCCATAGCAAGGCTGTGTTTCTATCATCCATGCATGGTTTCATATACGCTTTATTTCTTACTCTGCTCATACTGAAAGTATTATTTATTTATAAAATATTTTACCAGGAAAGATACATTGAGATTTCTCTCGTTTTCAAGTATGTCCTGGGTCCACAAATCATTGCATTTTTACATTAGGTATGCTGAAGTCTATCTTATATCGCCCAGTGGTATTTTCCTGATGTTTGTCATAAGTTATAAATTATCTTGTCTCTCCTACTGTTATAATCGGATAGAACTGTGTTCTAGATGTCCTTTCCTAATATAAAACTTGTAGCCTACTGTTTACAAATAAGCATGGTTTACCTTTACAAAAACTGTGCAGTTACTTAGACGTATACGTTTTTATCTCCTCTTGTTAATTGAACTTAAATCACATACAGGAGGAACCATAGGGCTCTTGCAGGTCATTAACAGAGAAGGATATTTGGAATTAATTAAACTAAATTGATTATTTGGGGCTTCATTCAGTCTGAATTCCTAGCTATTCTTACTTTAGTGAATAACCCTGTAGATCTCTGTACAGGAAATGTGTAGGTAGACTGTATAGGTCACATGAAGGGAGGTGTGACCAGGGCTGCATAAACAGTGATTTAGCCCCTTAATGGCAGAGAATTAGGCAGTGAGACTGCAGATGCATGATCTATACACAAAAACTGCAGTAAGTCAGAATGGTTTTGGTGCCTATTGTGTGTGTGTGTGTGTGTGTGTGTGTGTGTGTGTGCTACTCATTGTTGTCACTTTAATACTTCTTTAGTGTCTGGTTTCTAAGTTAGATACTTACACTGCCCCCATGGAGTTTAAAATATGATTTTACTTAACGTGTCTCCCTCGCCGTGGCTGGCCCCATCTCCATGGCTGAGATCATAAATTAGAAAGCTTTGGGAGGTTATTAGGCATGCTTGGCAAAACGCAGCGTTGTGCCAGTTTCTCCTCGTAGAGGTGCATTGAATCAATGCATCTCTGTGGGGATAATTTCACATCTCCACTCTGCTGAACGTAGGTGCAACAAATCTTGATAGAATCACTTTTAACTGCAGCTTTGACTGTTAGTTCTTTTCTTTTTTTCTTTTTTTTTAACATTGTGTTTATTGTATTTTTCACCTTCTATATCTGGTTTTACAGAGAAGAGACAGTTGTTATACAAGCCATCATATACATGTATACTATGCGTCGTGTCCATTTGTGTGCTGCACATAGCAGGTTTCTTTCTAAGTTTCCTTTTGTTGGGGGTTTGGGCGCAGTTGTGTTTTGCGCAGGTTCTGTCCGTCGGTTTATTGGCTCAGGTAGCGTGTTAGAGGGTGCATTTTACAAAAACGGTAAAAAACAGTAAAACAGTGTGATATGAGTACCATGTGTACTGACATATAAGTACCAAACATAATGTTAGTTTGTTTTTTAAGGCTCTGTATATGCACTTTTTCGTAGCAACAGACAACAAATATTTTTCCGTAACACACAATTACAGAATAACTTGCATTGTCTTATAGATACACCACCTTCATTTTTTTTATTTTTTTTTATGTATTTTTGTTTCAAGGTTTGCTGATCGAATGTCTATTGAAATGAATTGCCCCTACCCATATATATGTTGCTTTGCCCTTTTTTTGCATCAATGTACATCATTCTAGCATCTCCAGATCGTGCTGCTTGCGACCATCCTCTCTGTGTTTAGTTTTGAACCTATTGTTATGTCACATTTCATGAGGAGATTGTGTGTGGGAGAGAGATGGTTTAGGGGTCGTAATACTGTGTTCTTCTATAAGGTAATTCCCATTGCTCTTTAGAGTGCCCTGGGGAAAAAAAGGAACTTGGCAAATGGACAAGCATGAATGACAGGTGTTAAAATTCTTCTTTAGCTGAACAGACCAATCATTTGTCATTTTACTTTCCAGGAGCTTGAAGAGATCCGCAAATCTGGGCTGAAAAATTTCCGTAACATACAGGTGGATGAAGCCAATTTATTGACCTGGCAGGGACTCATCGTTCCAGTGAGTATAACATTGGCATTGAGGACTTTGTTGAATGATGCAGGCGTCTGTTTAATTATTTTTAATTCATCCCCCCCCCAAGTTTCCAATCACAATGCAGATAAAATTCAGAAATTATTAAACACCTTTGTTTTATTTACTTGCCTGTATTCAGACATAATAATGGGTAACACTTGACTAGCTCAATCACCACTATATCTGTGGATAATATTAATGTTAAATGGATGTTGAGTAATATTGACCACAGGTTCAAAATGGTCTACGCTGCTTGCAGCGTGACCATGGGAAGTAGTTAAAGGACCACTATAGGCACCCAGACCACTTCAGCTTAATGGATTAACCCTTTTTTTTTTTTATTATTTTTTTTATTATAAACATAGCAGTTTCTCTAAAACTGCTATGTTTATAATAGGGTTAATCCAGCCTCTAGTGGCTGTTTCTTGAAAGCCGCTAGAGGCGCTTGCGTGCTTCTCCCTGTGAAAATCACAGTGAGAAGACGCCAGCATCCATAGGAAAGCATTGGAAATGCTTTCCTATGAACTGGCTGCGTGCGCAGCTCCTGCTGCGCATGCGCATTCAGCCGATGACGTCGCTATGGAGGAGAGCTCCCCACCCGGCGCTGCAGAAAGGTAAGATTTTAACCCCTTTCTCTTCCCAGAGCCCGGCGGGAGGGGGACCTGAGGTTGGGGGCACCCTCAGGGCACTATAGTGCCAGGAAAATGAGTGTGTTTTCCTGGCACTATAGTGGTCCTTTAAAGTAGTAGCTGCTCTCAGGCCAAATGGCCAACAATTCTTAGCATATGGTTGCACATTTGGAGCTGCAGGGTGCCTCGTGCAGTTGCCTGTGGACTCCATATTTGTAGTCTTTACCACAAAGGCCAGGAACATAAAGGATTTCCTGACAGGCATTATTTGATAAATTGCAAATGGGCAGAAGAACCAGAAGAGAAAGGAAGTGGGTTTAAGAGGCCCTTAGCTCATTACCTATTCTCAAAGCATGCAATTGCCTGATCCCCCTGGAGTAACCCCATTTCTGTTGTCAACAAACATCACCCAAGTGGCCACTTTTTTTCAAAATGTGGTAGGCTCCCTCAAACAAACAGCACTAAACATACTCACAGGCATTGGTGATCCATATAACACTCATTGAGGCGGAGTTCCAATTTACCCATGGCTAGTGGGTGTGTTGAAATGTTGGCTGGATATACTTTGCATTGTTTAGCTGATATCAGCCAGCCACAGAACAGCAGGAAGTGCAACATGTGCCCAGCTCTGTGAGCTGTATAAAAATTTGCACTTTTATTTTCTTACAGGATACCATATGTAGCTCAAAGAAAGGTCCGTAATAACAGGCAGACATTATTTAGATAACTGTACAATTGGTAGTACTAGGAGTTACCTGATGATCGGTTCCATAAGAAAACACTGAAAAGGTTGGGTTGAAGGGGTTGTGTGTGTTTTTTTTATTTTTATTTTTTTAATCTCAAAGCTATCGCTAGCAGAGACGTTTTTATTTCTTCAAGTGGACAGTCTGCTCGAGCAGTTGAGCTGTAGATGTTTCATGAAGATAATTATCACATCCCCTACTGTTCACTCAGAACAACTCAAGTTGCAGTGTATCAGTTCCATGACATTCTGCAGTGCTTTCAGATGGTTCTCAATTTATTAAGTATAAAGCATATAATTCCTATGAATAGCAGTTTCATTGTGCAGATTTGTTTCTCCTTTATTGCTCATGTTGCTGGGATATTATTGTGAATCATAAAAATCATTAATGTAACATCATGTACTATATCAATACCTTTGAAAAATGCCATTTTGAGAGGATGCAGCTAAAGAGGTGGTATATGGCATGTCATCTTCAAGAACCCAAGAATTGTATTTTTTAAAATGTTTTTACAGTCTGGTATATTTTTACTTTCACACTATTTTGAGTGATTTTGCATCAGAATACAGTTGACCCAAAGGTTACGCTCACTGCACTAGTGCTGCTGCATGATCACGGAGCTTAACACAGGTAACGACTGTTATAGCTGTTTTGAAAAATACACCGTAACATTTAGCAGTTGTGAGTACTGCTGGTTCAGCCACAGCCGCAGTAAATATTTCTGTTAGTTTCTGGCTGGTGACACGCAGGAGTCTGGCAGTTGAGTGTGATCTTTTGTCCTATGTCAGTTTGTTCTGACCAAGATAACTTAGACTTGCTGTGCAGGCAGGGGGGAAAGGGAGTTAGAAGAAAAAAAAATTTGATATATATATACATATAATTTATTTTTATGTGTATATATAATATAAATAACCCCTCCCCCCCATCCTTATTATAGGACTATAAGATGCCACAAAACCATAAAAATGTGAGGTTTTTTATTTAACCTTTTGACTGGTGTCTTCTATTCACATTTACAGTTGTTGTCTTAATTGCAAAGTACACTGAAATCCCACATCCATAAAACCCTTGCATTACTAGCTGACAACATACCGACTCTTGCAATGCATATGTTCTGAATCTCACAATGTCGTATGTCACTCTAGGACAATCCTCCATATGACAAAGGTGCTTTCCGGATTGAAATTAATTTCCCAGCAGAGTACCCGTTCAAGCCACCTAAGATTACATTCAAAACAAAGATATACCATCCGAACATTGATGAGAAGGGCCAGGTATGCCTGCCAGTGATCAGCGCTGAAAACTGGAAACCAGCAACCAAAACTGACCAAGGTAAGACTCATGGATATGCTGTAAGGATGTAAGAACTATCCATGGTTGTTAGAAGTACTTAGAATTCTGGAAGTCTATGCTACCATCTTCCATTTATAGTCCATAAGTTCACTGATCAGCCACAACATTAAAACCACCTCGCTCATGCTGCCAAAACAGCTCTGATGCGTCAAGGCATAGACTCCACAAGACGTCTGAATGTGTTCTATGGTATCTGGCACCATTACATTAGCAGCATATTTATTGCAAGGTGGGGCCTCCATAGATTGGTTTTATTTTTCCAGCACATGCAACAGATCAGTCGGACTAAGATCAGGGAAATTGAAAAGTCAAGACAACCCTTTTTCCATTGTTACATGGTGCTCATGTACCCATTGATGGTGTTTTCAGTGGTGGACAGGGATCATTATGGACAATCTAACTCAGGCTTCCCCAAACTATGGCCCTTCAGATGTTGCCGAAATACAACTCTAATGATTCTCAGCCTATCTAGTTCATTCATAGAATCATGGGAGTTTTAGTTCAGCAACATCTGGAGGGCCGGAGTTTGGGGAAGCCTGCTCTAACTGGTTTGCAGCTCTATACGCAGCAAACTTTGATGCATTCTGTGTTCTGACACCTTTCTATTGTGGCCATTTTTACTTTTTCCTGCAAGTTGAGCTACAGTAGCTCTTCTGTGTGATCTGACCAGATGCATCAATTTGAGCTACAGTAGCTCTTCTGCCTTCACTCCCCAAGGTGCATCAATGAGCCTTGGATGCCCCTGACGCAGGTTCACTGGTTGTACTTCCTTTTACCACTTTTTGTAGAGTCTAACGCTGCATACTGGGAACACCCAGCAAGATTTGCCATTTGGGAGATGCACTGACTCAGTCGTCTAGCCGTCACTATTTGGACTTTGTCAAAGTCACCCGTTTTTTTTTCTTGCCCTTTTTTTGATGCATTGTGTGTTTTTACAGTTTTCAATCAATTAATTTTTTTCATCGGTAGCTCTTCTGTTTGATTGCAACGGATGGCTAGCTTTCACTCCCCACATGCACCAATGAGCCTTGGGCGCCCCTGTATGTTCACCAGTTGTACTTTCTTGCATGTGGGATTCAAGAACAGACTGTTCACTTGCTGTCTGATCTATCCCACTTCTTGACAGGTTCCATTGTAACAATATAATCAATGTCAGTGGTTTTAATGTTCAGGCTGATCAGTGTAAATGGATAAATCAATCACTGTGTAATTTTATTGCTTAAATATCTTGTATTCCATTTTACTACAACTATAGTAAAAAAATAAAACTTTAAAACATTGCAATTCCTGCAACAGTGAGTGTTTGTTTTGTTTTCCTCAGATTGTGATTGTGAATTAACCCATTTCCCCAAATAGAACACTCAACGTGGCCTATGTTTTCGTTTAATCATGCTCTTCTAGACTCTGCTCCCTTAGAATATTCGTGAGGATTTTATGTTCGATTTGATCATGCACATTTTTTTTATTTTATTTTTTTACAAAAGTGAATCTATATACTAAATTATTATATTTTTAGTTATGTTGATGTTCTATATTTAATTTATAAGTGCAGTGGGTATAGATACAGTTCAAGCCCTGTTTCATGTTCTGCAACCAGTCTTGGGATTGTGCTAAAAGTCTTGGGCCCAGATTGATAATGATCGAGTGATTGTTTTAATAATTTTGCTCTCTGGCAAGTAGGAGTGATTGGAATGTTTAATATCAGTCAAATTTGTACATTGCAAAAATTAACTTCCTTCACTTATGCTGTGTTTCTTGTCTCAGTCATCCAGTCTCTAATTGCCCTGGTCAACGACCCTCAACCAGAGCACCCACTGCGTGCAGATCTAGCCGAAGAATACTCAAAGGACCGTAAAAAATTCTGTAAGAATGCCGAAGAGTTTACAAAGAAATATGGAGAGAAACGACCAGTGGACTAGATATCTGGGGCCAAGTGCCAGTGGGAAAAAAACACACACAAAAAAACACAAACCAACATGATTTCAAAAAGCGCAACTGAAGAATTGGAGTCAGTGAGTTCAGAATTCCCTCCATCTCCCCACCATGAAAAGAAACACGAGGCAGGACTTCGAGGGAACGTGGAACAGTGTCAGAGTCAACCTCGTAGCTTCTGCTATGCTCTCAGTCAAACTGTTAACTAGATAAACTTGTAAAGAGGAAGATTAAAAAAAAATGTATGAAATTGGGAGTATGGTTCTGCTCTCTGTGTTTAAAAACAACCCCCAACAAATTAGTTTACTACTTTGCCATACTAAAACTACCGAAAAAATGTTCTACATTTCTGTTTTTCTTATTGAACATTTTCCATGCAAGAAAAAACTTAATGATCTTCTTTAGGGTTTCTCGGTAGGTTTGCTAAAAAATATATCTATATAAATATATAATTTTTGTTATTTTTCACCACCTACTATATTTTGGACACTCCTTGACAAGGTCCTACATGATTTTAGTCTATCAGTATGCCTCCCACATTATCCTCTTTTGTGCCAGGGATGGGTCACACACCTGACATTAAAGGGTTTACTCAGCTGTCCCATACAGACCACGTCACGGGGAAGGTATAGTTTGAACATTTGGCTCTTAGGTTTCCTTTCTATCAATGTTGCACTGTGCTTTGTGGGACTCGGTAAGTTCTCCTTCAGTTTGTAACATAAAATAATAAAAATAAAAAACGGAAAAAAAAACCAAAAAAATCTCAAACTGCTGGAATGAGCCCATTTTTAAGTATCTCAGATAATGTTTTATGCAAGAGTATATCAGCTTGACTGCTTGAGACTGAATCTTTCTGGTGTTTTCTTCTAATTTGTCAATATTTGTGCACTGTAAAGGAGAAGTTCTAACAATATAATTTGGTAATGTCTATTGTTATTAGTAGAATTGGTGGTTTTATTTAAGGACTATTCCACACCCTTAAAGCACTTCATGAGTGAGAAATATTCTATTTAAAGGGCACTTCTCATAAAAATCTGTACTTTAAACATACCCTGTGCCCCCCAGCTGTCAAACAGCCAGGGAGGTTTACTTCTGTTGGCTTCATCTACTGCCTCCACCTGCGTTCCTACTCCGAGACATCAGATCAGTAGTCTTTTTCAAAACCCTGTGCAGTGCGCCTGCAACCAGACACGTGCAGTGGGGGATCGCTTCAGAGGTTTCTCATTGAGAAGCCTCTGGTTGTTTCATGTGAAGAGGCTGAAAAAGTGTAGACTTGCAAAGGCTGCAATTCATAAGGATTACAGCTTTTGCAAGCTCTTTTAAGTTATAACCCAATGAATACATGCATGAATTAATTTGAGTATATCTACTAAACAGGGATTTTATAAAAAAAAAAATTTAAGGTAGAGGATGTGATTCCAACAAAACGACTTTTCGGATATACATTCGCTGACCGTTTCACCAGTACAATGTAAAGGACACTCCATACCTCCTCAAGCTTTATATGGGAGAACTAATGTGTATGACCTAACTTGTCCTACTTGCTCACTTTTCCAATATGAATTTCCTGTAACGTTAATTGAACTCTAAAATGTTTACTTGTACACGTTTTTTTTTTTTGTTTTGGTTTTTTTAAACCTCCTTTGTATCACTGCTTGTGGCTGAATTGCTCAAGTGGCAATACAAAGATCCTAAATAATTATTTTATCTGAATATCTTAGTCAGAGTACCATGGTAAAAGTGGTGTATTTTCATTCATCAGTCATACTTGGCATTGTAGGGAATTATATCTGATAAAGATATACCTATATCACACATAGTCACTTTAGATTCTAACCCACACTCTGTGTTCCAGTAGCAATGACTATTCTGTTCATACAGTGCTTTCTAACCAAAATAGGCAGGTGGATTTATGTGAGCTTAGATAGACCTAGCTGTTTGGATAGATCACATAGGTGGATTTAGATCCTTTCTCAGCTCCAAATACTGTATTAAGCGGCAGGTCCTTGTTAAAAGCCAAAGAAATGTGGATTTAGGTCTTATGCAATCTGTAAAAATTTAATGTTTCTTCTGTGAATGTGGTGTGTGTCTGAGTTAAATAGATAGCTGTGAGAAGGTATGCACTGTATTTAGTCCTCAGTGAAACCAAATCCAAATTGTGAGTCTATAACTCTTGCTTTCCATTTGGCCATTCGAGTTTTGTGTAGGACAACTGATTTGGCAGTTTTTCAGTGTAGAGGTTGTCGCCCTGAAATTAATTTATTTTTAAATCTTTTATATACACATATTGATGTTAGATAGATTATATATATATATATATATATATATATATATATATGAGAGAGAGATATCATAAAGCTCTAGATATCTATAAAGCTCTTAGTTTCTCTCTATATATCTTCTGATGTATGTGCTGCTAGAAATTAAGGTCTTCTCAGTTGAGTTTATTAGTTCCCAATCAGCATTCCTTTGTGCCGGAAAGAGAAAATGCTGTATTTAAATGCCTCATGGTGCCATAATTTCACTGTGCCCAGGAAGGCTAGGATAGGCAGAAATATTTGTGTATAATCTTATGAACAGACTAAAAAAAATATATATATATATTAAATCAACATAAGCTATTGCCCATCTTCTTTTTATGTTACCGCTTTAATGCTTTTATCTTAAGATGGAGATGCAAGGAATTGTTTCTGAATGGGCTGCATACCACTAACCATGAAGTCATTGTGGTCCACAGCTGACTAACAGATTCAGGGTCGCTGCCAGTACAAAGGAAGAACTTGGTAACAGTAATGCTGAGTGTGGTACCAAACCTCTTGCACAGAGTTGCTAAATCATCTGTCTTTGAGTTGGACTTGTGTGTTATAGTGCTGAAAAGCCACATATTCCAAAAATTGCCATACATTTTATTTGGCCAAAACCCCATGTGTATTTACTATGGGATATATTGGGGCAAAGTTCTAAAAGTGGAATAGTTCACCCCTCCCAAAAAATAATTTATGGAAATATATCAGGGGAGGGGAGATGTTTCCTTTTTCAAGTTCACCATCAAGAGAAAAAGAAAGTATCACTCTTTGAATTTTTACATATCCGAACACACTAACAATCATCGGTTCCTTAGCAGGTCGTAAAATTAGGTAAATACAACATCAGATAAACAACTACAAATGGCATATTACACAGTGTCATAATTTAAAGAATCCATGTGTGGAAAAACTAAGTACATCTTATGATTCAATCGCTCATAGAACCACATTTAGCAGCAATAACTTGAAGTAATCGTTTCATGTATGACTATCAATCTCAAATTGTTGTGGAGGATTTTTAGCGCACTCTTTACAACTATTTTTCATTTCATTGAAGTTTTCTGGTATTTGTTTATGCACAGCTCTCTTAAGGTCCTCCCACAACATTTCAGTCAGGTTGAGGTCTCGACTTTGACCAGGCAATTGCAATACCTTGATTATTTCCTTTTTCAGCCATTCTGTTGTAGATTTGCTGTTGTGCTTGCAACCGTTGTCCAATTGCATGACCAAATTTCAGCTAAGCTTTAGCGGTCAGATGGATGGCCTCAGATGGATTCTAAAATACTTTGGAATACAGAGGAGTTCATGGTTGACTCAATGATTGCAAAGTTCCCTGGTCCTGTGGCTGCAAAAAAGGGCCAAAGCGTCACCTCTACACCATTGTACTTGACAGTTGGTATGAGGTGTTTCTGCTGATATGCTGTGTTTGGTCCAAAGGACATTGTTCCAGAAGTCTTGTGGTTTGTTCAGATACAAGTTTGCAAACCTAAGCCGTGCTGCCATGCTCTTTTCAAAGAGAAGAAGCTTTCTCCTGGATACTCTTCCAAACAAACCATACTTGTTAAGTCTTTTTCCAACCGTATAGTCATGAACTTTAACATGCTAATGGAGGCCTGTAGAGTCTGAAATGTAACTTTTTTTTTTTTTTTTTTAACTACTCTACTCCTGGGTTGATTGGCAACTGACTTCCAAAATGTTTTCCACTTTTAAATCTTTCTTGCAGTAGAATTATGGAATTGTTTGGAAATTACCTTATAACCCTTCCAAGTTTGATAAGCAGCAAGAATTGCTTCTCTATGATCATTGCTGATGTCTTTCGTCCTTGGCATCATTTTAACACACACGTATGCTCCAAATCAGCAAATTCTTATAGAGGTGGTCACAATTGCTGATGATCAATTAATCAAGTGCATGTGATTAGCAGCACCGGTCTGCTACCTAGCCTCTTAATGCATATGGGTGCATTTAGGTTCTCACACTTGGCTTCTCCATGTGGCTTTATTTTTGTTGAATATTGACACAGTTGTATTTACACTTAATTTTAAGACCAAACGCACCGTAAAGGTTTGTCCTGAAATGTTAAACCATAGAATTCAAAGAGGGTGTACTTCTTTTTTTTTTTCCACATGACTGTATGTACACTACTGCTCATTTTTTGACACTGTTGCACATAGAAGGCTCATCAATAAACTGCAATCTTTAAGTTTGGATTCCAGTATTGTTGAATGGGTTAGGCAGTGGCTAAATGACAGCCAACAGAGGGTTGTTCTCAACAGAGTATATTCAAAGCAAGGTCTAGTTACCAGTGGGGTACCTCAGGGATCTCTACTTGGACCCATTCTCTTTAATATTATTATTAGCGATATTGAAGAAGGTCTTGATGGTAAGGTATGTCTTTTTGCTGATGATACTAAGATATGTAACAGGGTTGATGTTCCAGGAGGGATAAGCCAAATGGCAAATGATTTAGGAAAAATGGTCAGAGATGTGGCAACTGACATTTAATGTGGATAAGTACAAGATAATGCACCTTGGACGTAAAAACCCAAGGGCAGAGTATAGGATATTTGATACCCTACTAACCTCAACATCTGAGGAAAGTGATTTAGGGGTGATTATTTCAGATGACTTAAAGGTAGGCAGACAATGTAATAGAGCAGCAGGAAATGCTAGCAGAATGCTTGGTTGTATAGGGAGAGGTATTAGCAGTAGAAAGAGGGAAGTGCTCATGCCATTGTACAGAACACTGGTGAGACCTCACTTGGAGTATTGTACACAGTACTGGAGACCGTATCTTCAGAAGGATATTGATACCTTAGAGAGAGTTCAGAGAAGGGCTACTAAACTGGTTCATGGATTGCAGGATAAAACTTAAAAGGAAAGGTTAAAGGATCTTAACATGTATAGCTTGGAGGAAAGACAAGACAGGGGGGATATGATAGAAACATTTAAATACATAAAGGGAATCAACACAGTAAAGGAGGAGACTATATTTAAAAGAATAAAAACTACCACAACAAGAGGACAGTGTCTTAAATTAGAGGGGCAAAGGTTTAAAAATATCAGGAAGTGTTACTTTACGGAGAGGGTAGTGAATGCATGGAATAGCATTCCAGCTGAAGTGGTAGATGTTAACACCGGGAGGGAGTTTAAGCATGCGTGGGATAGGCATAAGGCTATTAAGATGTGGCTTGCAGAATCTCGTAGTAGTGTACTGTTACCAAGGGTTATTTTTACTTTCAATATAGGTGTGGCTCCAGGTTCCAGGTGCGCCCTGTGGCGCGATGACACTCCAGATGGCTGCTGTGGATTATTACCCGGCAGGTGCCCATGTAGACCCTTGGTCCAGCCCTTTTCTCCCTTCGTGTGTGTTGGTTCAGGGAAGAACGGTGTGCTAGGGTGGTGGGTTGGCAATCTTTCAATACAATCCAGGACATGTTTTGCTGTTTTCAGTATCCGTATAGTTAAAGATTTTTTTATATTTGGCTGTCGGGGTTGTAGTGCGGTGTAGTAGGTATGCGGTAGGTTTAAAGGGGGGGGTTGTCAGAGAACTTTTGTATCACCCTACTAATCATTCACCAGTAGGGGACCACCTTTGGGTATTCCCACCATATATGCAGAAATGAGCTGGCTCCAGTGTGGCATCGCAAGCACTTTTCGCTCAGGTCCGTTATCATTTTCTGCAATGTGTGCGGCGTTCTATACCACGGAGTCAAAACCTTGTATGCGGTCTCTTGGGTTTTACTTGCCAGTGCGCAGTGATGTGTGAGGTCGCATGTTTTGCCCCATTGTTCTTCTGTGAACGTGTCACCCGTCATAGTCTCCAATTTACCCATGTAGGGAGGTGGTGGGAGGTTCCTATTGTGTAGGAGCAGAGTGTATAGGTGGGAGATAGCGTGTAAAAGTGGGTCCTTACCTGTCCCAATGCATTTGAATGAGGTCAAGGCACTGCTAAGGTCGGGTTTCTGTGGGATGCTGTTCAGGATCATGTGTCTAACTTGTACGTGTGTCATTGAGGTCAGGCATGTGAATGCCCTTGGGTTCATGCCTGGGCTGTGTTCTGGATTGTTCGTGATCGGGTATAGAGGGGAAGGAAAGGAAGAAAGTTCTACCCGTGGGGCCGTTCTGTGCCATACCTCTAAGGTGGCCCTCACCAGTGGTTAATGGTGCAATATCCATCTTCCAGTTGTTGGGTTTATCCATGTCAATGCTTTCAGTGAGCCACCAGATTGAGCTTGTTGGATCTCTTTCCAAGGTTTAACTATGCCGTCCTTGACCCATTCCAGTATTCGTTGTAAGTGGACAGCCCGGTAGCGAAGTCGGGGACGATAAGTTTCGGTCACGTTAGTTAGATAGTTCAGTCGTGGTGTGTCCTGACCCCATATGTACTTAATCATCAGGGACCTCAGAGACTTGAAGCACGCTGTTGGGATCTGTATGGGAAGCGTTTAAACAGGAACAGGATGCAGGGCAAGAGATTCATTTTTAGCACTGCTATACGACCAAGCCAGGACAGGTGAGGCAGTTTCTATTCCTCCAGGTTTTTCTTAAAGTTGTTTAGCATTGGAGTGAAGTTGAGTCGGTATAGTTGGGTGAGGTCTCGGGATATCCAGGTCCCCAGGTATTTGATTACTCTGTCTGACCAGTACAAATAAATGCTCTGATGCAGCACATCGACCCTGTCAGCTGGTAGATTGATATTGAGAAGGTTGGATTTCGGGAGGTTGATCTTGAAGTTAGAGATCCTTCCGTATATTTCTAGTTCTCGTATAACGTTGGGAAGGGTTGTCTCAGGTGAAAAGACGGAGAAATTAAGAAAATCAGGTCGTCCACGTAAGCGGCCACCATATGCGTTGAGGGTCCTGCCTTGAGTCCTCCGATATCTATGTTATTCCTAATCGACTGTAAAAACGGTTCTAAGGCCAGAACAAACAGCAAAGGCGATAGTGTACTGCCTTGACTGGTCCCATTATGGATGTGGAATGCGTCCGTGTAAGCTCCGTTAATGTATACTTTCGCCGACGGGTTGGCGTACAGTGCAGTGATCCCCAGGGCAAGGAGCGTGTTAAATAGGAAATCCCAGCTAACTCTGTCAAAGGCCTTCTCTGCGTTGGTGGATATCAGGATAAGATCCTTGCCTGTCTATTGTGGATAATGGATCAGGGATATGGTTCTAGAGGTGTTGTCCCTCGTTTCTCTGTTTGGAATAAATCCCACCTGGTCCGGTTTCACTAGGGATGGTATATAAGGCAACCTGGCAGCCAGAATATGGGCGAAAAGCTTCAAGGGAGATAGGCCGGTAATTGGCACATTGCTCCGCAATGGGAGCATCTGGGAGAGAAGCCTTTGTCCGTGTCAACGAGTTATAAGCCGACAGGAAATGTGGGGATAGGACATCCGAATACATTTTATAGTAGCGGATCGTCAGTCCGTCAGGACCCGGGCTCTTGCTTCTTGATTGCTGGCGCTAGTTCCTCTGTGGTAAGCGGGGGTTACAGCGCATCTGACACTTCTGCTGGTATTTTCGTGTGAAGGTTATCGGCCAGATAGGTTCGCATGGATTCGGTGGTCTGTGAGGTACCCACGGGTGACTTCTAGTACAGTGATTTGAAGTAGTCGCGTACTACTTCAGCAATGCGTGTTGGCACTCTCTGCGGCCTGCCATGGATATCATGTAGGCTGGTTATGTAGGATGTGTTCCTTTTCTTGTTTATGATCGTGGCAAGAAACTTACCACACTTCTCGCTGTTTACATAAAAGAACACTTTGGTGTGTTGGTGTGAGTGTTGGAGGAGAGAGGATAATTGCCCCTTCAAAGCAGACAGTTCTTCGTATGTGTCCAGAGTATGGGCTGTTTTAGGTCTGGTTTCGAAGTACTGGATTTTGTCCGTGAGGTCCCTAATTGTAGACTTTTCTTCAGTACAGCACCCCTGGCTAAGAAGAATCCCCGTACCCTGTATTTCTGAACTTCCCAGGTGATTGGTGCTGGCCAGTCGGGCGTCGTGTTTTCCGCAAAGTATTGTGTCAAGTCGTGTGTGCATCTTTGATCAAGGTCGTGTCTGAGAAGAGAGTTTAATTTAGGCGCCTGTGGGTGGAGTGGGGTCGGAAGAGGTCACAGTCATTGTTAACAGTGCGTGGTCCGTCCAGGTCATGGGACCTATGGTTATCTGACAGACCCAGGAGAGGTGGTAATACGGTCAGAGAGACAGTCCCTAGAGGCTGGATTAATCCTGCAATATAAACATAGCAGTTTCTCTGAAACTGCTATGTTTTCAGCTGCATGGTTAAAACTAGAGGGAGACCTGGCATTCAGACCACTTTACTGAGCTGAAGTGGTCTGGGTGCCTATAGTGGTCCTTTAAATAATAATAAAGCGCTTAAATTTACAACCAGTCGATAACAATGCTGTTGTGTTCTTTCCCTGATGGTGACATTGCTTGGGGGGAAAAATTACACTTTATTATTAATCACTATTATGTGTTTGAGTTTTGTATTTAATTGTGTAATTATTTTGTGGTGGGATAAATAATATGCTGCTTTGTCAAGTAAATTTTAGTGTTACAAAGTGTAAAAAAGCATTTCATGGTGTCTTGCTTCCATTAAAGTCTGCCCACTGAGACACCTAGTGTGGCTGGACCATTTTTACACTTTCTGGATATGTGCTAGAGACTTGCCATCTCTGGATTTGAAAGCACCAACTCCTTATTTCAGCTTAGATTTACGGCATAAATGCAGTCCCCTTTTTGGTTTATTTAAGACAATTGTGTTTTAGACAGCACTCTGCATTTCTTATGTGTTTAAAACTGTGTCCATTGCTGAAGTTAACTGCAGACATGTAGAGAATGGTCCAAAGATGCAATTTGTATCGTATGCTGGTAACAAGTAAGATGAGATAAAGGAATACGTTAAAGGGATCCAAAGCGTTTTTCCTGGCACTATAGGTTTAATAGGTCCCCTTCTCCCGCGGAGGTGAAGGGGTTAAAACCTATTCAGTCACTTACCTGAATCCAGCGCTGAAGTCCCTTGGCGCAGGGTCAGGCTCCACCCACACTCCTCCCCGCCGTCATGCCAAGGCCATCAGTTCTCTGTGCTGCAAGTAGAAGTATCTAAAAAATACCTCAATCTGCTGAATTACAACAGCACTCTCATTTGTTGAGTGCACATCCATTACTGAAGGACATGAGAATTGTTTAGAACAGATTAGTGAAGTGAGCGAGGGATCAGTGTTAAGTAACTTTGTTTGGCAGTAGATGTGACTTTTTCACTTGGGTTCATTCAAACGGTTCCAAATGCTTTTTCAAAAGCATTTCAGATTATAAGAGTCAGTACGGCATCAAGGAGAAATACAATGTTATTTTCCAATGTCTTATCTAGTCTGATTATCCGCTTTTTTTTTATACTTCAGTGCAGACTATTGGCAGTTTCTGAGTCTTCTTAGATTAGCATGAGCTAGAAATAGTACTTAAAGGTTGCTTAGTACCAAGTCATTTAGATGACATATACTTCACAAAAAATATATTTAATAAAATATTATTTTCCCCAATCCTGGCAGTAGTACACGTGTAGCATTATATATACTCATAGTGAGAATGTAAAGTGAGATTCATGTTTAGCTATGCTTTCATTTCAGCTACTCTGGACTTCGCCATGAATTTTCATTTTAGTAAATAGCTCTCTGTTGATAAGCATCTCCCATCATGCTTACTAAACACAAAATTACGTTATAACTGGCAACAGCAATATAGGGTGGTCACAGTGTTTTTCCCCCTTAAACAAGTGTGCAGTGACCAGCACGCTAATACAGGAGCAAAGGTGCAATTTACTGGATCTGCAGTCCAGGTAAGTAGTCAGATAAATAAAAATGAGTATCCTGCACACCCTAGTAGTCAGAAATACTTTTTATTCATTAACAGTGCATAGAAGACATGTTGACCACTTTATTGGACTTTGTCAAGTCTAGAAAAAGACCAGGATAGTTGGTGAAACGTCTTCCATGCACTGATAGCTGATAAAAAAAGGTTTGCTGACTACTCAGAAGGTGCGCAGGACTTATTTTTATCTGACGTAGATGTTTCTTGTCTCATTTCACCATGTGTATGTGAATACATATACATTGTCAGTGTGTCTTACAATAAATATTTTGGTTCCTTGCGTAAAAGAGTTCAGTCTCTCCCCTATGCAAGCTGCAGGACACCAACGGCAACCTCCTGCAGGCCTCCACAGTGCCTCCAACAGAGGCCTATTGCTGCTTTGATCTATATGGTAAAGTCCAAGTTAACTGCATGCCTCTCTTGTCCCAATTCATAAAAGTGCTAATTTCACGAGAAATCATCACTTTTATAAATTTAAGAACAATCCCTGGTAGCCATGCTAACTGCCAGGAGGGCTTCCTTGTTCACTTTGCTTGAATGATTGTTCAAATGGAAGTGAGAGTTCCACGAGGAAGCATTAGTCTAATGAGAAGCATTCTATTGTCCAATCGTCACATTTGCTGGATTTCCACTTTGTTTCCACCATGGTGGGAATGAAACTAGGGTGATCCAGCGCTACGGGTGATATTTATAATTTAATTTCTGTCCAGTGGGAGTGATAGGATGAGCTAAGCTGAGAGTAGTGCTGCCATGGCCCAGGAAAGGAAAATATCTGACATGTATGAATCATTTCTGATGGATATATACACATTCAATAGTTTACATTCCCTAAGGCCAATATGGGGAAGAAGTGTTGCCTAATTTCCTTTCATCATTTTACTAGAAAGAGTTGGGTGAAATGTAATATTAATTAAGTCTTTGAAAATAAGTTGCTGTAATTCTCAAACAGGTCCTTGATTGTGATGGAACATGTAATGGTGGAATGGGTCATTGCAAGTGAGGGAACTGGAACTATAAACTTTCTGAAAGTTAATTAGGAATGTATATCAGCCAGTATCAACTATATTCCCCTGTATACCATTCTCACCACCCCCTAACACCATAAATGTCACTTGTGGCATTAGAACAGCTGCTTATTTCAACAAAAATGAAAATCTTCAAATAATATCAATGTCAAAGTTTAAAATAAAAACAAGAAAAATAAAAAACCACTTCAAAAGTAGTAATCAACCAAAATTGGAGTCAGGGCAGCTCTATAAAGTTCCTGCCCTGTTAAACATTAAACGGCTATACTGACCATGGTGTAAATCCATCCCATCAAGCCTTTAAATAGGCACGCTGGCAAAATCCCTGTAATGAGTGCAAGAGGTAAATTTCCACTCCAAGTGTTATAGATCTTTGAAACTACATAAGTGTACATTATTGTTATTATAATAACTGTGTAATGATGGGTCTCTTAAGATCTCTAACTCATGCAGTCTATCCCTGGATTGTGAGAAATCATCTGGACCCTCCCCACAGCCCCCTTCTTGCGGCATACTGGGGTAACCAGGGTGAGTCATCAGTTCAATTGTCATGCAGATGCTAGATTGGGTTGAGTGCCCTGGGGAAAGACTGCTATGCAAAGACAGGATTCCATACTCAATTGCTCTCTGGATGTTATGCGTCGACATGTGCTTCCCCATTGTGCTGAGACCAATGTATAGATCCGGCCACCTGCAAATCAAATATTAATTCGGTTAGAATAATTGCTTATAACTCCACAGCAGCAATAAGATAAATTCTATTTATTTTGTTTGTGTGATTATTAGAAAAACACAAAAAGTTTTGTGCCGCTACATCAATTGGCACTATAACAAGTTTTTTCTTGTTCTATGTAAAGGAAAAAAGACTTCAACTGCACTCGTGTAACATCCAACAAAGTCCCCATGAAAGTTTATGATTATATATAGGACAATATTCAAAAGACAATTAGCTATACAGGTATAGATATATACAGTGACAAAAAAAAAAAAGGAAAAATAAAAAATAATGTTTTTAGTTCTGCTGCATCTTTCCCCTCAATTCCGTACCTTCTTATTAATTTGGGTGTGAGGACTTTTGCCCCCCTCCTTTTTTAATTTTGAATAAATCATTACATTTAATGGACCTTCCTCATTAAACTTTGATGCTACATGAGTGAGGTACAAGTCTTTTGTGAAGTAATATTTATTTTAACATTGACTTCAAAAGAAGGCATCGTTGTACAAGGTGTCTTCCCTAGTTTAGGAGGGTTTAATAAAATATTTTTATTTCCAAAAAGGCAATCCATACTTAAAAAAATATAAATGCACTAACCTAGGCCCAGCAGACCCGGAGACCCAAGTAATGTTAATTAACAAACTGGTGTGCAAGTGTGAGGGAGGAGGGCAATATACCCAGTTCAGTTCCCTGGTGGTTCAGGGGGCCAAGCTGTAGGTCTGCTGCCTAGGTGAAGACCAGTTTGAATGATCCCTTTTCCGTCTGAGACTGCGACGGAGCATTGGCAGTGATCTGCACCTGCTGGAGGTGCAGACCTGCAACTTTTTCACTACCTCTTGAGGGAAATGTTTAGATTTCCTCAGCAGTCAGTACAGCGACAGAACACAACTCAGAGCTGGCTCTCTGCCAATCACAGGGGAGGAACTAATTTGCATTGAACCAATTTTCCTTGCAATTGGTAAAAATTGTGTATACATGATTCTGAGGTATGACTGCCGCAATAAGGGCTTAATATCTGCAGAAATTATCCATAGGTGCACACAAGCTGATGATTGTAAAGGTTCCACAGTATATTTTTCCACATTATACATAGCTTTTGTGTTCACAATATCTTTAGGTTAATTATGGTACTTTCTAGATTAAAGGTGCTTTGTTGTGGCAAGTATACTTCACCCAAGTCAAGATAGCGATGGCAATTTACCAGCATAACACTTTCACGGTGGCATTAAGTAAGCCTGATTTAATTGACTTAATATTTTTTTGTCTATGATGCTGTGTGTGTAATGAAATTACCCAAACCTAATGACCAGGTGATCGGCAAATATATTTACATCATAATCTGTCAGGCATGTCACTAGCCATTAAGGGGTTAAAACAACAATAAGCATTAGGAGGATGGGGAATATACATTTCTAAAAAATCTCAAATGTATTCCTTATCCAAAGCAGTCTGGCAGGATAGATTAACCTCAAGGGATGTTTTTCTTTGTGTGCAGAGGAAGAAACATAGAGAAAGCAAGAAAGTCGTGGTCATCCCTGGACCCTCTTTCCCATATAATTAGATAACTTACCTAAGGCCATAGCTCTTGAATATCCCCACAGAATTCAGAGCATCTTCCTGTACTGCTCTATTAAACACCATACGTTCCTCAGGGATCCAGTCACACCTGTGAAGGCCTAGCTCCACTGGCAGTCTTGTGTAATGAATTCCGTTTTCATGCAGCACTTGAGCAAACTCTTCACGGATTCCTAATTAAAACATCAGCCACAATCAAGATACTAATCGTTCAATCTTAATAGCTTCATTTTACATATGTATTAGATCTAAATAATGAAGGTTATCTATGAAGAGCACTAGTTAAACAAAGTTTTAAAAGTGGAGCAATCAGCACGGTTGACCAATAGACTAGAACATTTCAACAGGCACCTCAGTACCCTTAAAAATGTTAGCTTGCTGAAGATCTTTAGGGGTTTACTGCATGTACCTTCAAACTCATTTTATAGAAATACAGATTTCAAGAAAAATCTGAATGTTTATAATACCCCTTTGTTTTCTACCTCATTTGCTTTGGACTGTTGTTCAAAGTGGAAGTGAGGGCTTCTCGTATTGGACCAAGGGTTTTAATACTTCACTATGAGAAACATTGTTGGTGTGTCCCAATGCTTCTATGAGAAACATCTAAATGGACACAAGTCAACAGTAATGATGATTTCACAGGTGGCAGATTGGGGTATAGTAAGGATACTCTACCAGTGCTAGAATACATCAGTTTGGTTTTATCTTATTTCAGTGCTAACATGGGGGATGTGGGGGAGTAATCTAAAGAGTTTAGGGAACAAGCCAATTAAAAAAAGAAATACCAACAACCTCTGCACTAGGCTGGAAGAGGCAAAGATACTATTGGAGGATTTGGCCAACAGTTTCTGGTGGATTAACATCTATATTGTGTATATAGATTTACCATAGGCCATATGAGAGATTGACTTCACACACACAAAGAGATTGTCAGATTTCACCACACCACCACCAGGGATGCAATCATCTGCAAATGCAGAGGATATCAAGCCTCATAAAAGAGACAGCCCCTCTCCATTTTTCAAACGGTTTCCCCACTTACGCTAGAGAAATGTAGGGCATGGCAGCCTTATGCGGGTCTGCTGAGCACGCAATATCCCATTTGAATGATGCTTTCTGTTCAAAATCCTGGCATTCCACAAGTGAAAAACCTTCCTCCCTGCCCCTCCTCCCTCAGGGAGACCCGAAAACATTTTCCACCTCGCTGGGGATTATTCCTGGAAATTTCATCTATCCTCCTGAGCTAGTCCATTGCAAAAGAGGATGATTTAGTTCCAAGTTATATTTTCCTTTAAAAAAATTACGTTTACCTGGGCCTTCGTAGGACCAGGCGGAGGCCAATGACCCGAACGCAACCATATAGTCTTTCCGTGGGAAACAGAGAAACCACTCTGGCAGACTCCTAGGTTATTAGCCATACCCACTTAATTTTACCATCTTTGCTGTCCATACAGGTCTGCCTTTGTATGGGGGGGTGATCCTATTTGATACATACAAAGGCAGACCTGTATGGACAGCAAAGATGGTAAAATTAAGTGGGTATGGCTAATGATGTTTATCACAATGACTACAAATTATAGCAACAACAAAACATAATATAGTTATACATACTGATCTAAATTGCCTCATTTTACAGAAGGTTACTATACTAACAATGACATTTTTAAGTCTTTAAATATTTTTAACAGGATTAAGGGGAACCCTGGTGTGGGGGATAGCGGAGAAGGATTGGGTCTCGCTTTGGGACATACCCAGAAGTAGTTGACCATACTACTGTTACTTTGCATTTTTTTTTTTTAAAGTTTTTTTTTGCTGTTTAGTCCTTGTTGGATGTTACTGAAAACATGCTGCCATGACATTTACAAAATGACCTCAACCCGATTGAGATTCTGTGGCATAGTTACATAGCTGAAAAGAGACTTGCGTCCATCAAGTTCAGCCTACCTCACATTTGTTTTTTGCTGTTGATCCAAAAGAAGGCAAAAAAAAACCAGTTTGAAGCACAATTTTGCAACAAGCTAGGAAAAAAATTCATTCTTGACCCCAGAATGGCAGTCAGATTTATCCTTGGATCAAGCAGTTATTACCCTACATTAGGCATGTAGGCATGACCTCAAGAAAGCGATTCACACCAGACATCCCAAGAATATTGCTGAACTGAAACAGTTCTGTAAAGAGGTATGATCAAGAATTACTCCTGACTGTTGTGCACGTCTGATCTGCAACTGCAGGAAACGTTTGGTTGAAGTTATTGCTGCCAAAGGAGGTTCAACCAGTTATTAAATCCAAGGGTTCACATACTTTTTCCACCTGCACTGTGAATGTTTACATGGTGTGTTCAATAAAAACATGGCAAAATTTCATTCTTTGTGTGTTATTAGTTTAAGCAGACTGTGATTGTCTATTGTTGTGACTTAGATGATGATTAGAACACATTTTATGACCAATTTGTGCAGAAATCCATATCATTCCAAAGGGGTCACATACTTTTTCTTGCAACTTTATTCCTGTCCAGGCACAACTATTACAATTCGTTCACATAGCGAACCGCTGACACATTGTCCATCTTCAGAACCAAAGAACAATTGTAGACGTGCTTGTCGTACCTGCGGATTGTGAAGAAACCTGCAATTAGTTTGAGGCAATTGATATGAAGTGCTCATTCCGATTGGGACCAGAGTAGAATGTTCTGAGAAAATCAAGCCTCATCCGAGAAGGCTGGCATCTGACTCCAGAATGAAATCGGGTTGCGATCCGAAGATGGCTCTCCCGTTCCAAGCTTCCATATGATGTAGCCACCAGTTGAGTTCTAGCCGGACCTCGTCTGTGAGTGTGATCTGCTGATCGTAAGATGTCGACTGATGCAAGTAACGTGTTTTTAGGTGTTGTAGTTAGCGGTAGTGTAATGGGGCAGGGAATATTGCCTGTATTGAAGCAGAGAGTAAGCCGATGATGCGGGCTAGGTCCTGCAGGCAGAGATATGGTGACACCAGCATCCTTCGAATGTCCTTTTTGATGGATTTGATTTTTGTTGTAGGAAGTTGTAGAACTGCCTGAACAGAATCTATCTGGAATCCAAGGAATTGCACTGTCTGAGATGGGGTGAGAGATGAATTCTGGAGATTGATCAAAGGTCAAGGTTCTGTAATAAAGCTGAGGTCATGATCGTATGAAGGTGTAGAGTCTTCTGGTCATGTGCCATGAGGAGGATATCGTCCATATATACGATGGACCGAATTCCCTGGGAGCATAGTAATGCCATTACTGGTTTGACACGTACCACTACTTTGACATGTACCACCAACATGTGATTGTTGCAAACCACTTTCACAAGTTCACGGCAATGGTGTTCCCTGATGGCAGTGGCCTCTTTTAGCATGATAAGGTACCCTGCCACACTGCATAAATGGTTTAGGAATAGTTTAAGAAAAATGACAGAGTTAAAGGCCTCCAAAATCCCCAGATCTCAATCCAATCGAACATTCGTGGGATGCACTGGAACAACACAGAACATGTTCAGAGGTTTGGTGGAGTCCATGCCTCAATGCATCAGAGCGGTTTTGGCAGCTTGAGTGGAACCTACATGATATTAGGCAGGTGGTTTTAATGTCGTGGCTGATCAGTGTAATATTGATGTAAAGCCGGTTCGTGTGAATTTTACTTAATGCGCATATGATGGCACCTTATTATGATATATATTCAATGGAAAGAAATAGAGGAAACGGAAGCAGGGAAACCGCTGTCCACTCTACCTTGGCAGAGGAGCGGAGGGACCGGAGGACAGGGCTCACCCTACACAACTGCAACACTACAGGAGTGGGGGAGAGTAGCAAAGAGATGTGGACTAGCGCCGTTCCCGTCCACCCTGCTCCGCCTAACACACAACGACAGTTTCACACCGGGACTAGACCCCAACGCATTCAGAGACCTGCTCCGACACAAGACACCTAGACTACACCACCTCCTGGACGGAACTAATTGCAAAACGCTCCCGACCCTATTAGAGGGATCTACCCCCAACCTCCTACACCACCTAAAACACAGACAGCTACAGAGCTACGTTCATACTCTCCCGGGGCGCATAGCACGGAAACGGAACCCCACCACATTCGAAAGAATGTGTATGGACCCAGACCCACAACCGCACGGGATCTCACTCATTTACTCCATGCTACAGAGGGAGACTCCAACGGAGAAACCCAAATTTATGGGGAGATGGGAACAAACACTGGGGAAAACTTTCACTGACGGAGACTGGGAGAAGATGTGTTACTTAACGCATCACTGCTCAGTCTTCAGCAGGACGCAGGAAACGGCGTTCAAACTGCTGACGAACTGGTACCGCATCCCAATCATACTCCATGCCATAGACCCGGAAAACACAGACCTCTGCTGGAGGTGCAATAAGGAGGCCGGCACCGCGCTCCACCTATGGTGGGAGTGCGAGGCTATACGACCCTTCTGGCGGGGCATACACGGCTTCCTCAAAACCTTCTCAGACACACCACCTCCCTTCCTCCCTAAAAACATGCTCCTACACCACACAAAATCGCCTAGATCCCGATACAAACACTCACTAACTATTAGAATCTTAAATGTTGCCAAACAAGTGATCCCTCAATTCTGGAAGCAAACAATATCGCCCCCGTTGACAACTTGGTTCACCCAAATGGAAGAACTCATCATGAACACATCCAACTCCCCAGACAGGTATATTGAAATATGGAACCACTGGATACTGACTACTACCAAGGCAGAATTCACAAATAGGCCTCAAGTATGACACGTAGATGACGAGGTGGCGAGGCCGCATAGACCGATAAACTAAGAGACAAACTGGACAGACATAACCCAGACAGAGACGCACCCCCCCCCACCCTAGACAACTCGACCCCAATACACCCCCGCCCCCCCAACACTACACACAAGCTAACGGAACAATGCACACGGACGCACAAGCCCAACGGAATACCATCGACAGGAGGTACAGGGGATAGCACCACCAAACCCAAATCCACATAGTCTCTCAGAACCACAACACACAGGGATACGGGAAGAAAGCAACTGCACGCCACTGAATGCCAACAGTGCAAAAACCGCACACCCGAACACCTGAGAACGGAAAAACTAACTTAAGACACAGGGGCAGAAAGCAACCCAACAGACACAACACACAATATCCGATGCCTCCACACCTCACCCATAAGATTGAGATCTACCTTGGGCCTGCGTGCCGCAAAAATAGTGACAGGCAAGAGACCTGCGTGTCTCACGACAGTTTAAATCTCGTCAAATTGACAATGTGCACAATCTGTACCAATGCCTTCTTTACTATGAGACGTATAAAGACATGACTAAAGAGACCTGCCAGTCTCACCGTTACCTCTTACTTGAAAAACAAAATAAAAACCTTATTCACAAAAAAATATATTATATATATTCAAAATGCATTTATAGGTAAAAAAAAAAAAAAAATACTAAACATGTTTTATATTAGGACTCAAACTTTCAAATCTCCATTATTCATCAAGGACTTAAAATCCAGTCCCGGTGAGTATAAATCCACCCCTGGTTAGTGTGTCATGGACCTTCCAGGCTTGCTGTGGTGAGTAACCTTTAGGGCCTGGCTTGAACATAGGAATTTATTTCTTGAATCCTGCCTTGTGATGTCCATTAATTGTTTATTATAAATAAATAAAAAAATTTCACTTTATGAGAACAAATAACTGCATGCTTGATTATATAATGTAATGATATTCAAGATATAATATAGTTGGCAGAGCCTGAGCTGCCAAGATATTTTTTGGAGCCCCTTAAAGAAACAAACAAAAAAAAAAGCAAATAAAACAAAACTCAACAATGGCTGGACTTCCTAGATAAACAGTTTCCTGTTCTTATACAGACAGATCCATAAGCACACACAATATATAGGATTCCGGAAACCCTCCTGTAGTGGGTGCAGCCTGAAACAGGTTGCCGGTTCCATTTGACTTCCGCACAGCACCCTCAGAATCGGGAAGAATTGATAGTCGATTAAATACACTCACTATTGCTGCTCAAGTGCAAGAGCTGAGAGCGCAGTTCTGGAAAGTGCTGTTCAGCGAGAGCTGCTCAATATTTCTGTCTCCCAAAAATAGCTCTAGAAGTCCCTTCTCCCCTTTGCTTGCCTGTGACAGCAGGTCTGAACTTACAATGAGATTGTAAAGTATAAGGGGAAAATGTGAGATTATCTTAAAGGACCACTCTAGGCACCCAGACCACTTCAGCTTAATGAAGTGGTCTGGGTGCCAGGTCCTTCTAGGGTTAACCCATTCTTTTATAAACATAGCAGTTTCAGAGAAACTGCTATGTTTATGAATGGGTTAAGCCTTCCCCCAAAGCCTCTAGTGGCTGTCTCATTGACAGCCGCTAGAGGCGCTTGCGTGCTTCTCACTGTGAAAATCACAGTAAGAGCATGCAAGCGTCCATAGGAAAGCATTGATAATGCTTTCCTATGCGACCGGCTGAATGCGCGCACAGCTCTTGCCGCGCGTGCGCATTCAGCCGACGGGGAGTAGAGGAGGACGATAGCTCCCCGCCCAGCCCTGGAAAAAGGTAAGTTTTTACCCCTTCCCCCTTCCAGAGCCGGGCGGGTGGGGGCACCCTCAGGGCACTATAGTGCCAGGAAAACGAGTATGTTTTCCCGGCACTATAGTGGTCCTTTAAGAGCACATCATTTTAATTTATAGGACATAATTGTTAGGTTGCTTAATGTAGCATGATAAACTGATTCTTACTTAAAACAGAGTTAAATTATAAGTAAGTGTTGTAATCTTGGACTCTTACTTGGTAAAATGTGGACATGCTGATGACCATCCATATGTTGGGGAGTTTGCCCTGTCAGCTCTCTAAACAGACTGACCTGTGCTTGCAGCTCCTGTCGGACCTATAGAGCAAAACAAATGGTCAGAAGAAAGAAGAAAGACACATATTTTGAACAAATGCATTTTAAAATTGTATAAGTCACATATTTTTAAGAAACTCTGAGCAACAATTGATACAGAAAAGTGCTTTGTATTCAGAGCTAAATTGACCCTCACCTCTGGCATGCTGAGCTGTCCTAGTGCCAGTGCTTTCCGTATGCCCATCTTGCCAAGAAAGACACCTTCAGAGTTAACAAGGGAAGATTTCTGACGTAACTCAGCAGAGACCGGGATGCCCTCTGAGAGATTGGCATGAAGACCAATGGGAATGTTATACCTTAATAAGCAGTAGATATATTGTAAATAAAAGAAGTCTATATATACACAGATATAAGAATACACACACAAATATATATATATATATATACACACACACACACACACACATATATATACATATCATAATTGCTGATTGATAAAGAAAATTCAATGCCAGAAAGCACAAATGGACTTTATACATTTTAGCTAGGCCACTCTATGTACAAATTCATACACATAGTGCAACATAAACATTATTGGTAAATAAAACATTTATGAACAGGCTTACCAAATTAGCAGTTCTAATTGGATTTAAAGATAAAGGTGCCCTACACAAGTCTTCCTTCAGACACAATTATTATTAGAAAAACAATGCATGCATGCATGTACATTGAGTTATATAGTGATATTTATAGTCACCAGACCTGCTCTGAAGGCATTCAAAGATTCTGAAAGTCAATGAACAATTTAAAGGATCATTAAAGGCACCCAGACCACTTCAGCTAAATGAAGTGGCATGGATGCAGCACCCCTGTTGTTTTAGGCCTGCAATCTAAAACATTGCTTTTAGGTATATTCAGGAATTATTTAATTGTAGGATTCACACTAGAGAAGCTTCTGCACTGAAGGAGTTTGTAGTTATGTAGTGTTTATTGTTGAAAGTCTTCAAAACGCTGACCGTTGGAAATCATAGGATTCAATAATTCCCTGCTGAGAAGCATTTTATTGGACAAGCACAGTCCATACACTTCTCGTTCTCAATGCATCTCTAAAGGAAGCACTGGATTAGACAAGAAGCCAAGGAGGTTATGCCTGCTGGATGATATCACAAGAGGATAGGCAGGCGGCAGCACTAAATGAGACTCGGTACTGGATAAACGTAAGCAAAACCCTTTTTTTTACACCTCATCACTTAGGACGGGCAAGCTTCATGTGCTCAGCTTACATATTATATATTTGATACAGTTTATTCCCTATTAAAAGAAAAACAAAACATAATATTAGTCATGACAGGTGCTCTCTGAAGAAACACCCCAAGCACCATAACCACAACTTTGAACTGTAGTGGATATGGTGCAAGAAATGCCCTGGCACTGTCCCATAAGGTCAAACCATTTTAGTACAATTTGTCAACTTACTTTGGTCCTGCAATGGGCTGCAGTGGTTATGGTGTTTTAAGTGTTCCTTTAACCCCTTAATGCCGTTAGGATGTGCTATGTAGTCCTGCAAAAGGGTGACTTTACCGCCTTTAGGGCAGCTTAGCACCCCCCCCTCCTGAATACCAACCTTTCATTGCGATCGGAAGGGACTGCCCGACAACCCAGGCAGTCCCCCTGCAACAAATACTGCCCACCCGTGTCATAATCGCATGACTCGGATCGTCAGTCTACATCACTGCCACAGGGGGACTGCCTGTGATGTTAGGCAGATCCCCCAATTAGAATTAATAAAAAACAAATTAAAAAGCACACAGTTGTGGTGGAAAATAAATAAAATTATAAATAGATTTTAAATTGTTTGTTTATTTTTTCATTCTACGTGTATGTCTATGTATTATTATTACATATTTTATGTGATTTTTTTATATATTGAGGGATCTGGCTGACAGTTCAGAGAATTTAAAGGAATACTATTGGGTCCCAAACAAAAACCATGTATTTCTGACCCTATAGTGTTAACAAAAATCATCTAGCCTCCCTGGTGCCCCTTGCTCCTCTAAATATAGTAAAATCTTACCTTTATTGCAGTCTGCTGGTGCTGGCGCCACCCCTGATCTGCCTGCTTTGCTGATATCATCAGAAGTGTTGATTTGAGCAAATCACAATGCTTTCCCATAGGAAAGCATTGGATTGCCCGAGCTTGTCAGAGAGACAGATCAGAGCAATAACCAGCACAAGCCAAACATAGCCCTGGCCAATCAGCATCTCCTCATAGTCGTGCATTGAATCAATGCATCTCTATAAGAAAAGTTCAGTGTCTCCATGTAGAGGGTGGAGACCCTGTGCAGCACTGCCCCGGGAAGACCTCTAGTGGCTGTCTGAGGACTGGCCAGTGGAGGTATCCCTAGGCTGTAATGTAAACACTGCTTTTTCTGAAAAGACAATGTTTACAGCAAAAAAGCCTGAAGGGAATGATTATACTCACCAGAGCAAATACAATAAGCTGTAGTTGTTCTGGTCACTGTAGTGTCCCTTTTAGTTGCAAACCATGTCTTTGGCCCTGTAACTTTCTAAAACCCCATAAAACCTGTACATGGTGGTTACTGTTGTACTTGTGAGACATCACTCAACAAATATGAGTTTTTTCGCAAAGTGAAACATAATAAATATATCATCAGTGAAAGGGTAGTTTTTGTGTGAAAAATGCAAAAAAAAAATAAATAAATAATATGAACACAAACTTGTGAATGGACATACCCCATTTTGAATACACTAGGTCGTCTACTTTTGCAAATGGTATGTCATGATAGGGGTAATTTTCATTCCTGGGCTGCTCCGCAGTCCCAATGGCAACATAGGCCCAGCAAACCAATTTGTCAAATTTCAATATGTATAAACCGAAATGGGCAAGCTCTTTATTTAAGCCTGTGACTTTCCAAAACACCATGGAACCTGTAATTGGGATATCATTGTTATACTCCTGGGACCTCACAGCATACAAATATATGTTTTGTTGCAGTAAAAGCCAACAGTATTATGACATTCACCGTACAAAATGTCTTAATTTCTCACACTATTTTGTTAAATTTTATTAATATTAAATTGTGTTCCATATGGAAATATGTGATGTGAAATTAAAGCCCTGTTACTCATGATCAAAATTACATATAATAAGTGTGGGTACACTTAATATGAAAGAGGTGAGGTCAGAGGAGAACATATAACTCAAATTCTAGGTTTTGGTCAGAATTTGTACAATTGCCTCCGTACTTAAGGGTTTAATGTGAAGGATAATGGATAAGTTACAACCATTATGCAACAATATGTATTAAAATCAAAAGTTATTCAATACCAAAGAATCTCTAGAGTTAAATATAAGAATACGTGGTGTGTGCGTGTGAAGCAAAACCTAAAATAACAGCAGAGTTTGTTTGTTTTCCACGTCTGCCTTCTTACCTCTGTGCTAGATCAGCTGCTCCAGCTGCAGAGCTCCCATTAACCAGAAGGGAGACACTAGACACACCACCAGCACGAAAACAGTCAACGATGCCAAGATCCCGACGTGGGCAGTACCCAAAATCATCTCCTGTCACTACCAGCTTGATCTTTGTGCTCAGAGACATTCCACAAAGGCTTGGTCTGTATGGGTCAGAGAGATATATTTCAAAAAAGTTAAAACATTTGTAAAAAAAAAAAAAAAAAAGTAAAATAATTATGAAACAAATTACATAATGGCATTTTATAGATTAGATTTTTCATAACATTATGAAATAGTTCATCCATGACCTCATACTGTTACACATGTAATGGGCAGATGTCTGTGCCGCATTCATTGATTGAAACATGTACTCTGATGTAGCGAATGGGTGCAGGCACATTCCAATGTACAGATCAGGAAGCACATGTATTATTAGTACTTACTATTATTAGTAAGATGTTCTTTCCCTACTTGTCTACCTTGTTTCAGGCTATGTAGTACAACTAGCTTGTAGCTTGCATTACTTGCTGTTCCTGTATGGCGTAAAGTTTGCAAGTAACATAAAAAACGACGTGTTATCATGTTCCATTACGTGTCACTGGCCCTCCTTTGGGTGAAGCTGTAAACCATATCACAGCAGGACCAACCCCCTGATCAGATAGCCATCATTGCTATTCATGTTTACTGTCTGATTTCTTACACCCATTGTGTAACACACAATACATTGTAACTTTTTTTGGTAAGGGGACACTCACCTCAGAAAAAGTTACAGAAAAAAAATAAATAATATTATATATATATATATATATATATATATACACACACACACACACACACACACACAAAAAGGCGTATAATCACTAAACTAGGAATTGTGGGTAACAGAGAAATGGATGACACTCATCAAAAAATATCTATATTAAAAATAATTTTCGAAGACAGCATTTTCTACCTAGTTAGGCTATGTTGGACTAAACTTTGCTATCCCTTTTTCACACACCCCTCCCCCCACCTCCATTTAGAGAATAAACACATCTTTACCTAAACACCATGTTGAAATTAGTTTTGATAATTTTTTTGTATGTAGAAAGGATTGTTAGCGTAGAAAAAATGCTTTATTTTACTTTGACATTTCCTTGTAATACCTGCTATTTTTTAAAGGCATATTATTTTACATATGTTTTTGAATTTTATTCCAGAACTGTTCAAGTGACTAAACTCAAGGAAATGTAAGGTTAGAAAATTCCCCATAATTAAGTCCACATTTCAAAGGGAACACATTTCAAATAATACTGCAAACCACAAATTGCAGCATCCCTCCCTGTTCCCACACACACGCTCAATAGTTTGGATTTGGCCTAGAAGAAAAAAAAAAAAAAAGCTAAACATCAAATAAGTATTTCAGATATGTGAATTTGTGGTTTGTAAAATTAAACTGGTTGATTATGAAAAGCAAAATACTACAGCATAAGGCTAAAATGACCCACAAATTATATTAACAATTTATACATCAAAATAATGCAATATTTGTTCATGTTTATTTCATAATACGATCATTTTTATTGTTTTTACTGTCTGGAGAGTCTGATTTAAAAAAAAAATTTTCTAACATCCATGTGTAGCTATCACATAATGATTTTAAGCGCCTACTTTAGTCAGCAAGTCACACAGTGGAGTGAATTAAAGAGACATACATCCCAGTAGAAGTGGAGAGCGGTACGTTGTTAACGCTAGAAACAAGAGATGTGTGTGGTGGTTTTTTCATGGGGTACATTTGTGGGGCCATTTGATCCCAGTTTAATGTCAGAGATTAATGTTATTTTATTATAAAATGTTTAACATTGGAGGTATTTTAAATTATTTGCTTTGTTCACAAACAAAACGTATATGCATGTCTCACTTTATTTATTGCCTTCTTGGAACATGAATGCTTAGCAGCATATTACAGGACAGCCATATTTAAAATTGGGAATAGAAAAGAGGTCTCAAGTGCGCTCAAATATAAAAATAAATAAATAAGAGATGTATTTAGGTGAGGTGAAAAGTGACATACATGGAAGTAAAACGAGTACCAAGTGGTTACAGGGCTATAGAGAAATAGAATGGGGCATAAACGGTCACTGTGTTCTAGAGAAGGCTGTTGAGAATGTTATAGAACTCTGTGTAACACAGGATGATAGGAAGGCGTGTGCTCTATGAAGGAGGTGCCAGGCTGTGCTCAGTATGGGGATATGCCTAAAGGGAGGGGCCGGAAAGGTGGCAGCATTATATACCGCTGCCTACACTGGAATCATTTTCAGGGCCTTCTCTACACACTGTCCCTCAGTTTACTCCGGATTCTCCCGCAAACCGCCCGCCTTCCCTCTCACCTGCCCGGTGTCCACCCCAGGCCCGCCCTGCGCCCCTACCGGCGCTTTCATTTCCTCCAGCACGGAGCAACCTGGCTGGTTATCGTGTCCCGGTGACACCCGCCTCCATTACTGCGCACGTCATTTCGCTCCACCCCGACAAAGGCCGCCCAGACCCCCAGCCACCCATCTACCGCTAGGCAGACATACCCCCTTCTGATACAGAGGAAAGCCGAATGTGTGCTGCAGTAGTGGCACTTACCCGGTCACTGCATACACCCTGGGGGGAGGGGGGGGGTGGAATTAGCAGGACACATAGCAAGTGGCACCCTGCCCTATGTACAATGTATATGATGTAGGAATCCTCCCTGACTGGTTGTTAATGGTGTACCTCAGCTTCTGAATTCTGTATGCAACAAGGCAATAGTGTCATTGTGCCATCCATCAATATGTATAGGTGATAACTATCCAGGAACAAATGGGATATGGCAGGGTCGTCTTAACGCATGGGCACGCGCTTAGGGCCCCCATAGACTTGCCAACTTTTCAAGAAATTATTCAGGGATATTCATTTAGAACCTTCAAAACCTCTTTATCAAAAAATGTTTAAAAATTGTGAGACTGTCTCTGCATTGTACAGAAAAATAATTTTAGACATCTTGAAATCTGTGTTTCCCAGTGTTGAAATTGAGCGCAGAGTGTTCGTGACATTGACAGTGCAGGAGAACGTCCATTTTCAAGACTGAAATTATTATTTTTTTAAAATTAGCTTTGCAGCACAATAGGGCAGCAGCGTTTATTATTATTATATTTATATAGCACTAATAAATTCTGTAGTGCTTTACAATGGGTGGACTAACAAACATGTAACTGTAATCAGACAAGTTTGATGCACAGAAACAGGGGGGTTGAGGGCCCTGCTCAATGAGCTTACATGCTAGAGAGAGTGGGGTAGTGACACAAAAGGTAAGGGAAGTAGATTGGTAGAATAGTATTTAATGAAGACTTAGTGTGGGGGGTTTTCTGGAGCCATTAATAGTTTAATTTATATGCTTTTGTGAAAAAGTGAGTTTTTAATTATTTTTAGAAGGAGTGGAGACTGGGTGTGCGTCTAACGCAGGCTTCCCCAAAATGCAATGTTTTTGAGATGGAAGTGGCAGGAGTTAGCGATTGACTGCATATGAGGGGTGAAGGAGAGGTCAGAGTCAAAGAGAACACCTAGGCAGCGAGCCTGCGTGGTAGAGCTGATGGTAGCACCATTAACATGGAGGGAGACAGAAATAAGAGTAGCAACACTTGAGGGAGAAAAGAACAGAAGTTCTGTTTTGGACAAGTTGAGCTTAAGGAAGTGGGCAGCCATCCAGTTATAAATAGCAGAGAGGCAATCAGAAACACTAGTCAAGAAAGGGGGGGAGAGATCAGGGTAAGAGGGCTAGATCTGCATGTCATCCACATAGAAGTGATATTGGAAGCCAAAGGAGCTGATGAGTTTACCAAGGGAGGCAATATAGATCGAGAACAGTAAGGGACCAAGGACTGAACCTTGGGGGACACCAACAGAGAGAGGTTAGGAGGAAGAGGCAGAGAAAGAGACACTAAAAGGGCGCTGGTTGAGATAGGTGGAGCACCAGGAGAGAGCAATATCTTGTAGACCGAGATTACGGAGGAGGAGAAGAAGCTGTTGATGATCAACAGTATCAAAAGCAGCAGAAATGTCAAGGAGAACTCAGAGCTGTTTCCACAGAGTGCTGAGCGCGGAAACCAGACTGAAGTGGGTCGAGTAGAGAATTGGACTTGAGGAAGTCTGTCACTCTCACATACACAAGTCTTTCAAGGATCTTGGACGCAAAAGGCAGTAGTTAGATGGGGAGTTAGGGTTAAGGTTGGGCTTTTTTAGAATCGGGTTACAGTTGCTTGTTTGAAAGGTAATGGAAATATAACAGAGGAGAGGGAGAGATCGAGAATTTTAGTGAGAGGCAAAGCAAGAGAAGGAGACAGAGTACGGTTTAGATACAAGGGAATGGGATCAAGGGAGCAGGTGGTGGGGAGGGAGGATCAGAGCACATCAGAACCCTCTTCCGCTGAACATAGCAACAGCAGAGTGAGTGAGGTTGGGGGAAGTATTGTAAGGGGAAGGAGAGTGATCAGAGATGAAGAGAGTTAAAAGTGCAAAATTGTCGTTTGGGTTGGCGGGAGAGTGTGATAATGAGTGTATTAAAGTAATTTACTTTTGCAGAGGAAAGAGCCAAGCTGTAAGAGCGCAGCATAAATTTATAATGGGTCAGATGTGGAGTGAGACTTTCTCCATCAGCGTTTAGCAGTTCTGGAGCATATTTGGAGGTATCGAGTCAGCTCGGTGTGCCAAGGTTGTAGTTGGGGGCGCTTGCTGCATTTAAGTGTAGGAGGTACCATGATGTCTAGTTGAGAGAAGAGGGTGGAATTGTAGAAGGAGATTGCAGAGCTAGGACAGATGAGGTTTGAGATAGGTAAAAGGAGTGTTTGGAGGTTAGTGGAGAAGTGCTCTAGGTCAAGACATTGGAGTTTTCTTTGATATTGATTTGCCAGTTGGGTCCTAGGTGTGCAGATATCAAAAGTCAGATAGAGGAGTATTGGAGAGATTAGAGGCGGCACAGAAGTTGGTGAAGGCGAGATCGAGTGTTTCCCACGGTATGGGTTTGAACTGTCTTTCACTCATGTATGGAAAATTACATCCTGAAAACCAAAGTTCGCAAATGTTTGTGTTGAACATTTGATTAATAATAAATCATTTATAGTAATTTCGTACTGTGCCAACTCTGTCCGTATGATTTACCAACCGAGTACCATTTTTGGAATTTCATGTTTTTCTACTTCAAGGCTTGTGTTATATTTGGAAAATGTTTGTGTGGATTAATTTCTGCTGTACAGAATGTTTTTTAATGTTTAAACACTGATTTTCTCGGATGTACCAATAAATATAAACTTAATTTTATATTTACTGGTATGATGTTAGCGATGTGACAGGCGAGGTAAGTGTATTCGGTCAGCTATTAATTCGCTGCCGATACTCCTGGCACAGCTTCTCATATTTGGCTTCAAAGGTCTCCCAACTCTGGCCTTTCAGGTTTGCTTAACTCAATGAGTGCTTTGGCATGTCGGCCATTTTGGAATAATGTTGGTAAGACAAGCAGATTTCAAGGTTTTGCTGCTGCAAGGAGATTATTGTTCCAGTGGGGACCGGAATATCCCCCACTAGTCCGTGGGGGGTAAAAGGGCTGCAGAAAAGTTTCAATCGCTTAAATAGTTCAAAGAGACTCTGTGTGGCAGGAGCTTGTAGCAAACACGTCTGGCCATGTCCAGAGACAGGGTTAGCTTTTTTTTTGTTATGTCTTAATTTTGCATTTTGGATATCAACTCAATACAATTTGGAATGTAATGATTAACCTTCTCATGCCTCCCAACATCGGGACACATTTAAAGGAGGATATGAGTTGGTATTGCCTAAGTGACACACTGAAACCACCCAAAGGGCAATCTTCTAATGATCCTAGTGCCCATAGCATAGTGCAAGTGTGCCTAAAGCTGTCCCTGTGCTTCACTTTCTTGGCACTATAGGATTAATAGGTCCCCCCCTTCCTCGCACGCCCACTAAAACCTCTTCAGCCACTTACCTGAATCCAGCGCCGATGTCCCTTGGCGCTGGGTCAGGCTCCGCCTACGATTCTCCCCTGCCGATGCCAGCCACCGGGGGAGACCTAATGGGCATGCGCGGCAATGACCTCGCATGCGCATTAGACCTCCATATAGGAAAGCATTATTCAATGATTTCCTATGGGGAAAATCTGATGCTGAAGGTCCTCATGCAGAGTGTGAGGACGTCCAGAGTCAGATAACAGACCAAAAGTCTGTTTGGATTCCGGAAACCCTCTAGTGGCTGTCTGGTAGACAGCCACAGAGGGCAGACATAGAGCTGCAATGTAAAAATGTGTTACATTGCAGCACTAGGTGCAAAAGGGACACAGCACCCAGACCACTTTAATGAGCTGAAGTGTCTAGAGTGTCCCTTTAAGACTGCCTCTATTGGCTGTCTTCCAGACATCCACTAGAGGCGCTCCTGCTCTTTCCATGCAAGGATGCTGGACATCCTCATTTGATTATATTAAGAAGCAGTTTCTCCTTATTTTATGAACAACTTGGAAAGTACAAATCAACCCCTAGACATAGACTTTGTGGTGAGTCGGCACCTGGAAACCCAATAGTTTACTATTTATAACTGCCCGACTCCGACAAAATGTACCAATGTGTTCAGAAAATGAATCACAAATGGTTACATATGAATTTTGTCCTATTTACTACAAATACGTTTTTATTTTTGTTTGCAAATTTTGATTGAGTGAAACATCACTAGGTTGCACAGGTTTGCCATAAACAAGTAAAAATATTTATATATCTTTTATTTATAAAAATTTTATTAAAATCTCATCTCCAAACAGAAATGAGGTACGATATAAAACCCGAGGTTAACACCTCCAAGATGGCTTAATTAAAGCCCCTCCACCCCCAGCTGAACAGCTGTTAAATCTTAACGCAGCTGCAAGCACCAAATCACTAAAGCTGTTTACAAAGCTTCAACCAGCTGCTCCGCCATCGTAATTAACCTGGCCCAAAGCACAGCATTTTAATAACCCCACACACCCTTTCCTAGGCTGGGTATAGGCTGAAGGGGAGCTCACACGCCGGGAAAACACGATGGAACCCGCTCAGAACCTGTGTTGGTCACGACGGACGCTATCCGGTCCCTTCTGCAGCCTCCTAAGCCCCAATTTTCTTTACCTAGCTATAGGGTAAATCATAGTTTGCAAAGGCTACTGCAGGATTATTAGGGTACACTTTACCCCTCGATATCCTTATGGGTTCCCAGTTGCCTCCCTGCCTGTCATACTCTGCTAACTCAAGTTATCTTATATTTTGAGCGCAGCATGGGTACACTAACCTGATGTAACCAGTGAGCACACCAAGTTTCTGCTGTCGGTCAAACAGGCTCTTATATTATTTCATTGTCTATAAGCTTGTATAATGTTTTAAATCAATGTAAATGCCATGCTCGAGAATTCCGTGGATCTGCCTAAATTTCATGTGCTCCGGGTTTGGTTTACCTTTCAATAGTTTGCCTAGCATGCTAACCCAATTTACTATAGTGGCAAAGTTTAAACTCTTTTGCTTTACATTCACGAATGCCGATATGCACAACCTTTTATAATTGACCATACGTTCATATTCTGTTTTTTTTAAAAATGTACAACTCAGTATTGTCATGATGATGTATGCTTTAATGTGTCTGTACCGGCCATCGCGGCACCACAGGCTTGTTTGTTAACCCTATTGTACAGAAAGATACAGAATAAAAAAAAATAAAAAAAATATCATCTCCAGTCAAATTGGCCCATTATTATTATGTTTTGACATTTAAAAAGTGTATATCTGAGGCAATGAGCAACGTTTAAAAAAACCCCCAACATACTCCTAAACCACAAAGATGACCTTTTCCAATGGCTGTGCACACATTGTGGGTCAATAAGCAAATTGGATCATTAGACATTCTAGTTTGTTTCCACTTCTCTTGTGTCTTTTCAATAATTACAGGGTTTTTTTTTCTTTTCCACATATTACTTACACTGTTTTTTATACACAAAGAATCATGAGAATCATTGAGGATCAATCAATGGGAATAAAAATCATGCTGCTGGAGCCTTTATTTCAGTGTCCGTGACCCTATTTTTGTGAAAATGAAAAATGGGACCCTATTTAAGTGAAAATGAATATATATTTGCTCAAGATGATCTTCTGCAATATCAGATTTAATTCTATGAATTTAAATGTATAGAATTGGCAGACTGGTTCATGAAAGAGTCGTCTAGCAATGAGTTGTCTAGCAATGAATCTAAAGGAGTACTGCAAATTCTAATGGAGGTATTGTTGCATGTCAGAAAGGATCTACATCCACACCCTCCGTTTACTCAAGAATATGATATGATTTTTATGGCTACTATTAGAAGGCATATTAACCTTTGTATGGGTCTGGAGATATATCACAAACATTTTTTTTAATGAACATTTCCTGCCTGGTCCAAAGCCAAGCATTATAAATATATAGAGAGAACTTTGTGCCTGTCAGCCACATGGCAGTTTTGAGTAGTAATCTGGCACAGTATCCTACAACCAACCTCTTTGTCACTGCAACTGAATTATTAATGGTTTGTACACTTAACAGTGAATGGAAGACCAAATTACACAATTCAGGCAAAAATAGCCAAAATGAATAAAATAGCTGAACTGGTGAATGTTATAAGGTGTCCAAACGTATCCATGAAACTGAAACGTTGACATTTTATGAATACAATGGAATAAAAGCTAAGTTTTATTTTTGAACACTAATCTTGTCCTTTTAGTGTGGTCTTTTTATGGTATTTTTATATGTATATCTATATATACACACAGACACACACATGCATGTGCATTTAAAATGTAGTGAATACTTGCATGGCACGTGACACTAAGCTGTGCTCATGCCTTATTAGTACTTATAAAAGCAAAGCTTTGGGGGGAGTGCATGGTACTTCCAGTTAATTTCTCATGAGATTGGTTTTGTTGTATATAAATACATTTTAAAAATGGCATTTCGTCTCAAGGAGCAAGATGTCTGATCACCATTAGGGCACATGTGGTAGTCACAGGCACTTTCCACCCAAATTCCACAGAGAAAAGGAACACATATGGTTTTGGGCAAAGACGTAAATCCATTTTCAATATATCAAAAGAGGGGGACAGAGCATGCACTTGGGGGACGTGGGTGCATGTCAACCTGTCTGAATATAGTTTGTGTAGCAGCACAAAGTTCTCCTTCCTCAATCCTCAGTACTTCATGACCTCAAAGCAGGAGAAAATGCTGCAACAGATGCAAACAGTGTGTAAATGGCAGGAAACAGGGACTGACCCTAGTAAGTTATACACAGAAGCTCTTCACAGATTTCTAGAGAGCCAGTATATTCAGCAGCACATAGCCCTATTCATGAAAATATATAAATGGAGCTTACTGACAAGCTACTAGAAGCTGCTGCATTCCTTGGACATTTTCATGAATAATACCTAATAGAGGTTTAAGAGCTATGCTTAACAGCCTCACTGAAAATAATGATAGGGCCAGAAATGGCTGACAACACTCTCAGTCTCTGGTATGTGAAGATGCAGCAGATTTTCAGCAAATGTATGAAAGTACAGGGGTGCAACGTTTTGTTGTAGTCATTTTTCAATAATTTTCATCCGTTTTTATGTGTTATCCCCATAAACAAAAATTGGTAACTCCATCCTGAGTGTAGTAATACGTTTCCTTACAAAGTGTTAATTTCAGTGTGCAGGTAGGCACATATAGTGTACAAACCATCCGCAATATATACCTTCTGAGGATTGCTGACAGTATTGATAGTAGGGAGTTTGAGAGCAGTTTGTGTGGGAGCTGTAGGCAAGTAACAACACTTCCATGACTTGTCTAAACTTGTTTACATTAAAATGTAGGTTCCATACCTTTTGTTACAAGTACTCCGGTGACATTAGATATTCAGGTAACTGCAAGATCATTAAGACTCATAAAATATTAATAGGTAATAATGAGCTTGTTCCGACCAATAAATAGCTGCCAATAAGCAAAGCCTGTGTGCTTTGCAGGAAGTCACATAACTATAATAATAACCAATTACTGTGAGAAACACAAAGTAAGGTTAACTACAAAGGTCAACTGAAAATGACTGAATTGTTTTGTAAGGCAGCATAGGTTTGAACAAATATAATATGTAGGGGCCATTCATAAACCTGTTGTGTAATAATGGTGTAATAAGAGCACTCCAAATTATTTAATATGCATCCACCATCAATCATCGACAAAAATCTTAATTGCAGTCCATACAGTAGTCACCTTTAACCTTATGTTTAGCACTCCACATGACGTGGACTGCAGTTGTAAATATTATCAGACCCTTTTTCTTCCATCCTTGTGGTCAGGAGGGTAGAGGAACACTACAGGCACCCAGACCACTTCAGCTCCTTAAAGTGGTTTGGGTGCATATTCCCAGGTGCCTTAACCCTGCAAAGGTAATTATTGGGTGATTGTAATAAGTGAGTTAACTCTACCTTTAGTAGCTATCTACCAGACAGCCACTTGAGGGTCTGTCAGGTGGTTAGGCGACTTTTGTTCGCCTAACTGATGTGGACGTCCTCACGCTATGCATGAGGACATCCAGTGTCACCCAAAACCTCATAGGAAAGCATCGTATAATGCTTTCATATGGGGGAAACCCTAGTGCAACTGACATCAATGGAAATGAGCCGAGGCAGAGCCCGAGCCAGTGGCAAGGGACATCAGCGATGTACTCACGGAAGTGACAGAAGGCGCTTTACCCCCTTCTGCACCACAGGGGGGATAAGGGTGACATAGCTCACATAGCACTATTTTTGTAGCACTATAGTTTCCCTTTAATATACTAGGCAGGTGACATGATTGGGGAATAAACATTTAGGCCATTTTCCACAAATAAATAGACAGTTTCTGCCGAATTTACCCACAGATATTTGCTCCTTTAGCTACACAACTATTAACCTCCCTGGCGGATTTCCCGAGTGTGCCTCGGGGTTAATTTGCAGTAACAAAAGCGATAACCCTGAGCCACGCTCAGGATTACACTGTAGTATCACTTACCTTGTCCCTACGAGCCCCTGGTGTAAAAAATACACACAATACAATATAAAAACAATGTACTGCTTTAACATTAAAAAATACTGACATAATCAGACCACCGGGGAGATTAACCCCTTAAGGACACATGACATGTGTGACATGTCATGATTCCCTTTTATTCCAGATGTTTGGTCCTTAAGGGGTTAAAGGAAAGGGGAAAAAAGAGTGCACTACATCTTCCATTTATATTTTCATAGATATAAAGAATTCCATAAATAGATAAGATTTAACAACAAATGGTGCCACTGCTAGTATGCGTCAGAGTTAAACTCTGCTATTAATATTTTTCCTGTGATGCTTCATCCATGTGATAGGCTTATAATGAATATAGGAGCTGTCAGCTCTGAGCGTACAAAGACCTGGAGTCCTCAGAGAGGTCAGGGAAGAAAATGAATCTCCAAGCACATGGGTTCTGGAACGAAAAGGGAATGAATGTTACCAGGTGGACCACAAATCCTCTCCTTTCACATACATAATTTAGTGTTGTTGTTTATTAATACTCAATGGCCACAATGTTCTTTGGCAGAACTGATGAAATGGTGTCAACAGCTTTAAGCTTAGACAGTGCTGCTAACATTGCCCTCTTCTGCTTCCATATCATGTGGATTGCCTTAGCTCTCTCATTGAACGGTGTAATCGTCATGTCCATACTGTGGACAAAGACCTTGAGATCGGAGAATAGATTCCTCTACATTCTCAATACCTGCTTAAGTGGTTTTTCACTGGGGACGGTCTGGTTTTACATAGCTGTGTTTCAGAACCTTGAAGATCCATTAGGGTTTATGATCAGCGAGATGGTTGTGTATAACTTTATGGGTGTTATTTTTTTGACTATCCTATCCTCTCAGTCTGAACGTTACTTTGCTGTGGCCTTTCCTTTTAGGTACATGAGTGTCATGACTAAAACTAGGACCATTGGGGTCCTGGTCTTCTGCTGGTTGTTTCCCCTATGCATGACATTAATATATGGCCTCCTTGGGAACTCCAGCACTTCAACTGTTAAAGGTATTAGCAACATTATTAGTAACATTGCAATTTTTGTCATAATTCTTGGCTTGAATGTCAAGCTGTTTTTAATAGCTAAGGGCCATCAAGACAGAGAGTTGCCTGGTCCACAGAAAGACAGTAACAAGTCCTCCCTTAGACTTATTATCATAGTATCATGCATCTTCCTTCTCTTTTGGACACCATCCAGCGTACGTGAATGTGTCTGCAGCTTCCAAAGTTGTGTAGTGTATAGGAAAACTGCCACAAACCCTTTTAGGATCCTTGTTGCTATTACATCTGTCTCCAATCCGGTATTGTATCTGTGGGGCAGTCGATCTATCCTCAAAGCTGCATGGGAGACGCAGGTTTTTTGTTTTGTCTGCAAAAGGTAAGATTACCATGAAAATTATACTTCTGTATTCAGGGCCGTCTTAACAGCATTATATGCTCCTGGGCAAAGCAGTGCAATGGGACACTGCCTACACAACCACTCACATGAATAAAAATGTACATTAACGATAAATATAAGCTTATATTTATTGGTACCTCCAACAAATGCAATACATACATACAATACACACTCACAAGCTGCTGGATACATTTACAGACTGCTGAATACACACTGACAGCTGAATACACATAGACTGACTGCTGAGTACACACACACAGACTGCTGAATACAAACAGACTTCTGAAAACATACAGACACAGACAGCTGAATACACACAGACTGCTGAACACACACACAGATTGCTTAATACACACACACAGACTGCTAAATAAATACACACAGACAGGCTGCAGTGAGGGGTGCAGTGTGTGTGTAGGGGTTTAGTGTGTCAAGGGGTGCAGTGTGTGTCAGGGGTGCAATGTGTGTCTGTGTGAGGAGTGCAGTGTGTGTAGGAGTGCACTGTGTGTGAGGGGTGCAGTGTGTGTAGTGGTGCAGGGTGTCTGAGGGGTGCAGTGTGTCTGTGAGTTGAGTGCACAGTGTGTGAGGGGTGAGGTGCGTGTGTGTATGAGTGGTGCACTGCGGTGCATAGGGTCTATACTGTGTGTGGCGGGTGATAAAGGAGAAAATATATATATTTTTTAAAGTTATTTTTATTTAAAAAGAAAAAATGCAGAAAGATGACCCTGTCTGTGTTGTACAAATATATTTTGTGTCAAAAGAACTAGCTACATATATACATATATTATCAGGGTTATCCATTAAGGTGAAAATTCAAAGTGAGAATTCAAAGAAAATTTAAAATTTAAGGCTAGAGTAGGCAAAACAAAGCTGACTTAGAGAATTTTTCCAGTTTAGCTATTGTGACCTTCAATTTGAAATTCACTTTGAAATCACCTTAAATTCTCACTTTAGCGAACAACCCTTTGAATGTTGTACCTAACAATAAGGGAGCAGCAGCACAACTGTTCATTGCTTTCATGTACACGTCCTACGATCAATGCTTATTATGATCACTGTGAAGTCTGGTAAATGAGTAGTGAGTGATTGTTGCCACAGACATAAAATAAGAAGTTATGGGCAAAAAACACAAGTGCTCTTTTCCAGTTTGCCTGCCCTGAAATTTGTAAGAGGTATCAAGAGTGATTAATTAGAAATATTAACAAAGACACAACTTTTTTTTATTTTTTAAACCTTTTGCAAGCACAAACAAAAAAGAAAATGCCATACAATGTACATATTTCTGCTGAAATCAGAATTTGGAAATCAAAATATCAATAATTGCTGTTACATGCTGACTTTGTAATGATTGATTTGAGTTTATGTTTAACCATCTAAAAGAAAGCCTGTAGATCATTGCAATTGGCTTTATACAACCACAACTTACAGTACATATTTTCCTATTTTGTAAACAGGAAAATTGACCCTCTTGTTCCAACTGTCTCGAACGCCCTTGGAAGAAAATGAAATTGTGATCTAAAAGAAGCCCGTTTAATACCTGAATATTGCATTGGACTTGCATACAATATCTTATAAATAACAAAACAAATGACAAAATATATGAATCTAGAAAGAAACGAAAATGTGTGCTTAGCAAAAGTTTAAACAACAACAAACAAACAATTAATTATTTTAATGAATTACATTATGTTATCAGTTTGTCCCAGTTTACAACTACTATCTTCACATCCTATGGCAATATAATAACTTTACCTACAGCCATTTCAGTACACTATATAGGGCAACATACAGAGATACAGCAAACCTACAAGGAAAAGAAATACTAAGAATTACAGTGTAACAGGTAAGGTACCAAAAATCAGCCATCAATTGGAGGCACAGACAAAGTTGTATTAAAGGCATTGATAATCAATCAAAACGGACTGACACAGTTATAAGATCAATGTTGGATAGAGTCCAGTAACATTTTGGCTTTGTGCACTTTTATCTAGCATAAATTTGGTCATAGCTAGATTAGTGACACATTTTGAATTATTGTGCGTGGCTACCCTATTTTCTTTCTACTTTGCATTTTACACACATTGAACATGGACACCTAACAATTATATTGTATTTTTTGTAATATTGTATCCTATTGTAACGATGCAATGTTTTTGTGGACCCAGGACATACTTGAAAACGAGAGAAATCTCAACGTATCTTTACTGGTAAATATTTTATAAATAAATAAATAATCTGGACCAAGACATCTACTAAAGGAAGGCCATCAGCAATCACAGTTCCACATATTACTAGAAACAGAATTGGAAAAAAAAATAATAGTGCAGAATTCTCTGTGATATGTAAAACACACTAATTTATTGCACATAACTTAATAAAAAAATGTAAAAATCACAGCATTCTTCTTCTCTCGTGAATGATGTTCCTCCATTCAAGGGAACATACTGGAGGAGTGTCAATCACGAGAGAAGGCGAGAACGCGGGAAGCTAAAGAACTATATACTTTCTTTTAATGTTTATTGCATTTGGTTTAACAGTACTTATTTGTGAACTATTACATTTATGGAGTCACTTATATAGTCTTATGGAGTCATAACAAATAGGATGTGGTGAACTTGGACTATGCACTGTCTGATGTTCACAAGCATGTATTCCTGACCCTATAGTGATAAAAGCAACATTCAGGTCGCCGCTGACCCCATTTCCCCCCTGCCCCATGCTTGTACCTCATTAGAAAGGGTTAATACCTTATTTCCAGCCCCCAATCCGCCTCTTTGGCTGTCATCATCAGAATAAATTCTCTTAGCCAAACCAATGCTTTGCCTATGGGAAAGAACTGAATTGGCCGAGATTGTCAAGGAGGTGGGGTGGGAGAGGGGTCAAACACCACCCTGCCCAATCAGCATCTCCTAATAGAGATGCATTGAATCAATGCATCTTAATGAGGAAAGATCAGCTACTCCATGCAGAGCATGAACTTCAGTCACACCGTGCAGAACTGTCCCGGGAAGCACCTCTAGCAGCCATCTGAGGAGTGGCCACTGGAGATGTCCCTGGGCTGTAATGTAAACACTGCCTTTTCCGTGAAATGACAGTGTTTACAGCAAAAATCCTGAAGGGAATGATTATATTCACCAGAACAAATACAATAAGCTGTTTTTGTTCTGGTGACTATAGTGTCTCTTTAAGTTACGTGAAATAAATTGATGTGTTGTATCCATCAGTGAATGTTCTGCACCACTATTTTCAACAGATCAAGCTATTGCCAATTTTGAAGCCTTAATTGTTACACTGCTATAATATGTAGGTTTTTTTTTGTTCTTTATATTTTTGCTGTATCTCTGCATATTGGCTGGTAATTTTGTGTATATATAGGGATCGAGTAAATCCTGTGAGAAGCAGCCTGCTTATTACTCTAGTAAATATGTTTATTTTAGCACATTTCTGATAATTTGGGGTGTTTTGATTTTATCCACTTGAATACGATTAGAAATGTAAGAATTTATGTGTTATAATTTGTCAAAATTATTACAAATTATTATTGTTATGTTATTAATATAGCGCCAACAAATTCCGCAGCACTTTACAGTGGGTGGACGAACAGAGATGTAGTTGTAACCAGACAAGTTGGACACACAGGAACAGAGGGGTTGAGGGCCCTGCTCAATGAGCTTACATGCTAGAGGGAGTGGGGTAAAGTGACACAAGAGGTAAGGATAGTATTAGACTAATGACAGTTGCAAGAGAGGAGCTAGTAACAGGAGCAGTTGGGAGCTATTAAAGTTTAACTGATATGCTTTTATCAATCTATAGGCTGCTGCCCCCATGTCTCACTCCCCTAATCTATAGGCTGCTGCCCCCCCCCCAGCCTCACTCCCTAATATATAGGCTGCTGCCCCAGCCTAATCTAGCTGCCCAAATCTATAGGCTGCTGCCCCCAAATCTATAGGCTGCTGCTAGGCTGCAAAATCTATCTATCTATGGCTGCTGCCCCAAAAATCCCCAAAAATCTATAGGCTGCTGCCCCCATCCCTCACTCACTCCCCTAATCTATAGGCTGCTGCCCACCTCTCAAACCCCCCTCCCATCCCTCACTTACCTGATCTGTAGGCTGTCTCTTGCTGCATGTGTTGTTCCCCTGCGGTTTCAATCAGCAGAGAGAAGCAGGGATAAAATGTAGCTTCCTATCCCTGTCTCTTTCCATACACAGCGCCACCTACTGGCCAGCGCCGGTTCATTTTAAATCTCACACGAAAAATATCAGAACAAGCTGAAAAACCCAGGGGGGGGCAAGTGTCCCCCCTTCCCCCCCCTGCGGACGCCCAGGGCCGGCCTTAGGGGTGTGCGAGCTGTGGCCGACACAGCTCACTCATGGCCGGAGTGCAGGGGAGCTAAAAGAGGTACCTGGCTGGAGGATTAATTATTCTCCACCCGGGTCTATTTAAAAAAAAAAAAAAAAAAATCGCGGCAGAGGGGGCGGGGTTTACCGAGCGGCGGAGGCGGGGCTTATCGAGAGGCGGAGACGGGGCTAATACCTCCCGAAGCCCCTGCTGTACAGGAAGAGGGAAAGATGCTTCCCCATCAGCCAACTGCATCCACTGGAAAGAGGTAAGTGTGTGTGTGTGACTGTTTGCCTGTTTGTGTGACTGTCTCTGTGTGTTACTGCCTGCCTGTGTGTGACTGTCTGTGTGTGTGACTGTCTGTTTGTGTGTGTGACTGTCTGTCTGTGTGTGTGACTGCCTGTGTGTGTGACTGCCTGTATGTGACTGCCTGCCTGTGTGTGTCTGTCTGTAACTATCTGTCTGTGTGTGACTGCCTGCCTGTGTGTGTGACTTTCCATCTGTGTGACTGCCTGCCTGTGTGTGTATAACTGTCTATGTGTGTGTTACTGTGTGTCTGT